TTGGTGACACTGAGGTGACACTTTGGTGTCACTTTGGTGGCACTTTGGTGGCACTTTGGTGACACTGAGGTGACACTTTGGTGACACTTTGGTGACACTTTGGTGGCACTTTGGTGACACTGAGGTGACACTGAGGTGACACTTTGGTGTCACTTTGGTGTCACTTCGGTGTCACTTTGGTGGCACTGAGGTGACACTGAGGTGACAGCGCCATCCCCGGCCTCACCTCCACGGCGGCCACGCGGGACCTGGCCCAGCTCTGGCGCAGCCTCAGCCCCGAGGAGCGCCGGCCCTACTGGTTCGTACTGGTTTGGACTGGTTGTGACTGGTTCAGACTGGTTCGTACTGGTTTGAACTGGTTTGGAGGGGTTCGGACTGGTTGGGACTGGTTTATGCTGGTTTGGACTGGTTTGTGCTGGTTTATATTGGTTCTTACTGGTTTGGACTGGTTTGTACTGGTTTATACCAGTCCATACTGGTCTGTGTTGGTTTATATTGGTCCGTACCAGTCCATACTGGCTCATACTGGTTTATACTGGTCCATACCAGTCCATACTGGTCCATACTGGTCCATACTGGTCCCGCAGCCGGCGCGCGCGCCATTTCAGCCTCCAGCACGACCGGATGTACTGGTCCATACTGGTCCATACTGGTTTATACTGGTCCATACCGGTCTATACTGGTTTATACTGGTCTATACTGGTCCATACTTGTCTATACTGGTTTATACTGGTCCCTACTGGCCCGTACTGGTCTATACTGGTCCATACCAGTCCCTACTGGTTTGTACTGGTCCATACTGGTCCTGCAGCCGGCGCACGCGCCGTTTCAGCCTCCAGCATGACCAGATGTACTGGTCCATACTGGTCCATAGTGGTTTATACTGGTCCGTACCGGTCCATACTGGTTTTTACTGGTCCATACCGGTCCATACTGGTTTATACTGGTTTATACTGGTCCCGCAGCCGGCGCGCGCGCCGTTTCAGCCTCCAGCACGACCGGATGGTGCGGCCGGACCGGGGCAGCGACAGCGACAGCGACGGCGACAGCGCGGCCACGCCCCTGCGGCTGCTGCTGGCTGCGCACGCGCGGCCCGGGGCCGGCCTGTGACAGCTTGGGGACAGCTTGGGGACAATGGGGACAGCCTGGGGACAATGGGGACAGCTTGGGGACAATGGGGACACCTTGGGGACAGCCCGGGGCCGGCCTGTGACAGCCTGGGGACAGCTTGGGGACAATGGGGACAGCATGGGGACAGCATGGGGACAGCCTGGGGACAGCCTGGGGACAGCTTGGGGACATGGGACAGCCTGGGGACAGCCTGGGGACAGCTTGGGGACAATGGGGACAGCTTGGGGACAGCCCGGGGCCGGCCTGTGACAGCCTGGGGACAGCCTGGGGACAATGGGGACAGCTTGGGGACAGCCTGGGGACACCTTGGGGACAGCCTGGGGACAGCCTGGGGACAGCCTGGGACAATGGGGACAGCCTGGGGACAGCCCGGGGCCGGCCTGTGACAGCATGGGGACAGCTTGGGGACAGCCCGGGGCTGGCCTGTGACAGCATGGGGACAATGGGGACAATGGGGACAGCATGGGGACACCATGGGGACAGCCCGGGGCCGGCCTGTGACAGCATGGGGACAGCTTGGGGACAATGGGGACAATGGGGACAGCCTGGGGACAGCCCGGGGCCGGCCTGTGACAGCATGGGGACAGCTTGGGGACAATGGGGACAGCATGGGGACAGCCTGGGGCTGGCCTGTGACAGCCTGGGGACAGCTTGGGGACAATGGGGACAGCCTGGGGACAGCCTGGGGACAGCCTGGGGACAGCCCGGGGACAGCCCGGGGACAATGGGGACAGCCGGGGACAGCGGGGACACCTTGGGGACAGCCTGGGGACAGCTTGGGGACAGCCTGGGGACAGCTTGGGGACAGCCTGGTGTCCCCTCCAGGGTGTTGTCCCCATCCCAGTTCGTGTCCCCATCGTGTCCCTGTCCCCAATTCCAGTCCATGTCCCCATCCTGGTTTTTGTCCCCATCGTGTCCCCATCCCAGTTCATGTCCCCTTTGCGTTTCTTGTCCCCATCCTGGTTTTTGTCCCCAATTCCAGTCCCTGTCCCAGTTCGTGTCCCCAATTCCAGTCCATGTCACCAGTCCAGTTCCTGTCCCCATCGTGTCCCCAGTTCCTGTCCCCATCATGTCCCAATTCGTGTCCCTGTCCCCATTTTGGTCCCTGTCCCAGTTCCTGTCCCCAGTTCCAGTCCATGTCCCCATCCCAGTTCGTGTCCCCATCGTGTCCCTGTCCCAGTTCATGTCCCCATCTTGGTCCCTGTCCCCATCTTGGTCCCTGTCCCCGTTCCAGTCCCTGTCCCAGTTCATGTCCCTGTCCCCATCCTGGTTTGTGTCCCCATCCTGTCCCTGTCCCTGTCCCTGTCCCTGTCCCTGTCCCCAGGCTGGTTCTTGTCCCAGTTCTTTGTCCCCATCCTGGTCCCTGTCCCCATCGTGTCCCTGTCCCCATCCTGGTTGTCACACCTCAAGTCCGTGTCCCCATCCCAGTTGATGTCCCCAACCCAGTCCCTGTCCCCACGGTGTCCCTGTCCCTACCATGTCCCCATCCTGGTCCCTGTCCCCATCCCGGTTGTCACAATAGAAGTCACTGTCCCCATGGTGTCCCTGTCCCAGTCCCTGTCCCCCCGGTGTCCCTGTGTCCCTGTCCCCCTGGTGTCCCCAACCCAGTTCCTGTCCCCATCCCGGTTGTCACAATTGAAGTCGGTGTCCCCATGGTGTCCCTGTCCCAGTTCTTGTCCCCATGGTGTCCCTGTGTCCCTGTCCCCATTGGTGTCCCCAACCCAGTCCCTGTCCCCACGGTGTCCCTGTCCCCACCATGTCCCCATCCTGGTCCCTGTCCCCATTGTGTCCCTGTCCCCATCCTGGTTGTCACACCTCAAGTCCGTGTCCCCATCCCAGTTGATGTCCCCAACCCCGTCCCTGTCCCCACAGTGTCCCTGTGTCCCTGTCCCCCTGGTGTCCCCATCCTGGTCCCTGTCCCCATCCCGGTTGTCACAATTGAAGTTGGTGTCCCCATTGGTGTCCCTGTCCCCATTGGTGTCCCCAACCCAGTTCTTGTCCCCATGGTGTCCCTGTGTCCCTGTCCCCATGGTGTCCCTGTCCCAGTTCCTGTCCCCATGGTGTCCCTGTGTCCCTGTCCCCATTGGTATCCCCAACCCAGTTCTTGTCCCCGTGGTGTCCCCATGGTGTCCCTGTCCCCATTGGTGGCCCTGTCCCAGTCCCTGTCCCCATGGTGTCCCCATTGGTGTCCCCAACCCATTCTTGTCCCCCACCTGTGCCCCTCCAATGTCCCCTCAATGTCCCCAAGTGGCTCCTCCAGTGTCCCCCAAGACTCCAGTGCCACCTCCCTGTGCACCCCCCAATGTCCCCAAGTGTCCCCCAATGTCCCCAAGTGTCCCCTGAAGGCCCCAATGTCCTCTCAATGGCCCCAAGTGTCCCCCAATGTCCCCAGGTGCCACCTCCCTGTGCACCCCCCAATGTCCCCAAGTGTCCCCTGAAGGCCCCAATGTCCCCCAATGTCCCCTGTGCCCCTCAGTGCCACCCCCCCAGTGTCCCCAACCCACAGGGGGGGGTCCCCACCAGTGACAGGAGGTGACAATGGGGGGGATTTGGGGACAATTCGGGAGATTTGGGGACAATTTGGGTACAATGGGGACAATTTGGGTACAATGAGGGATTTTGGGGACAATTCAGGGGAATTTGGGGACAATTTGGGTACAATGAGGGAATTTGGGGACAATTTGGATACAATGGGAGGGATTTGGGGACAATTCAGGAATTTGGGGACAATTTTGGGGTCAATGGGGGGGATTTGGGGACAATTCAGGGGAACTTGGGGACACTGGGGGAAATTGGGGACAATTCAGGGGATTTGGGGACAATGGGGGGATTCAGGGACAATTTGGGGACAATTCAGGGACAATTTGGGGACAATGGGGGGGTGGTGACACTGGAAATGTCCCTTTTAGTCCCATTTTGGTGCCTTTTCCCCCCATTTTTATCCCTTTTTTCCCCATTTTCGTCCCTTTTTCTCCCATTTTTGTCCCCTCCTCCCCTTGTGGCCACCGCAGTTTTTTTGCCAAAATCTTTTATTGCCGCCCCACCCCAAAATCCCCCCCAAAAACCCCAAATAAATATCCAAGAAAAAAATTCCGTGAAAAAAAGGGGGATTTCGGGCAATGCCGGGGATTTTGGGGGGGAATTTGGGGAATTTTGGGGGTCCCCAATTATCATTTGGAAGAGTTTTCAGCTGTACAAAATTTACAAAGGGGGAAATCCCAAAAATTGGGGGGGAAGCCCAAAATTGGGGAAAAATCCCAGAAATTTTGGCAGAAAATTCCCAAAAATTGGGGGGAAAAAAATCCCCAAATCCTCCCTGTCCCCGTGTCCCCAAACCCCCCCTGTCCCCGTGGAAAACCCCCAAAAATGGGAATAATCCCCCTAAAAATGAGAATAATGCCCCCCAAAAAAGGGAAAATCCCCTAAAAAAATAGGAAAATCCCCCCCAAAATTGAGACACACCCCCCCCCTCCCCAAAAAGCAGGGAAAGCCCCCAAAAAATGAGGGACAAATCCCCCAAAAATGGGAATCATCAATACAAAGAGTTAGGGACAGTCCCGGTACCTTTTTCTGGGCAGCACGAGCCCGAAAAAGGAACCCACGTTAACAGAGGATTAACCCTTTAAAGTAATAACTTGTTGCATATTCATAGACCTCATTAGTGATGCATAAATTCCACTCAAACACAGGAATCGATCTGTCCTGGATTTATTAATTCAGCTGTCATAGTCCAGCTGAATTAATAAATAAAGATAAATTTATAATAATTTCATTATGATAATCGTGACGCAAAGTAGTCCCGCTCTCGGTGCCGGGAGCGCGGAAGGCGAAAACGCGGAGGGATACCAGGTGTGGGTTGTGCAACGTTGCTACTGCGGAGGGATCTCTCGGTGATGCGGCCGTGCCGCATCAAGCTCCGGCAGCGGCAGAGACGCGGAAGGATACACGCAAGCCGCTGCAGTTTTCGCTTGCTGTGCTGCCGTGTACGGACCCGGTGGCGGCGGAAGCGGCGTGCCCGGGCACGGGGATGCCGGCTGTGACCGGACAGCGGCGGAAGCGGCTCGGAACCGGGACCGGGCTGCACCAAAACTGCGGGAAAGCAGCGGCGGGGGGGCGGCAAGCTCCGGCAGCGGCGGAGACGCGGAAGGATACACGCAAGCCGCTGCAGTTTTCGCTTGCTGTGCTGCCGTGTACGGACCCGGTGGCGGCGGAAGCGGCGTGCCCGGGCACGGGGCTGCCGGCTGTGGCCGGACAGCGGCGGAAGCGGCTCGGAACCGGGACCAGGCTGCACCAAAGCTGCGGGGAAGCAGCGGCGGGGCGGGCGCGGTGGGGACGTGCAGATAAAACCGCGCATGCGCGCGGCAGATCCCGGAAGCGGCGCTGTGGTTGGATGAGGCGGCGCGGAGTGATATCGCTGCTGCGGCGTTGTAGCAACTGCGCATGCGTGGTTTGCTGCACTAGGGCAGCGTGAGGGAGCCAACATGGCGGGCGGGGGGGCGCGGGAGGTGGCGGAGCCGCAGAAACGGGAACGGGGCCGCGGCCGCGGCCGCGGAAGGCAACGCCGGCACGGCCGTGGTGGCAGGAGGCGGCGGAGCCGCGCCACGCGGCAGCTGTGAAGCGGGGGCGGCGCTGGGGAAGGCGCGGCTCGGCGCGCCGTGCAGCGGCAGCGGCAGGAGCGGAAAAGCGACCGCGGGCGGCGGCGGGGCGGCCCCGCCAGCAGGAGATGATCCCGGAGGGGCGGCGGGAGGCGGGAGGAGCGGCGGGGAGGCGGCGGGAGGCTGCCGCGGGCTGGGGGGGGCGGCGGGCCCGGCGGGCAGGGGCGGCGCGGCAGGCGCGGCAAAAGCCGCGGCCACCGGTGCGGACGCCGCGGCGCCGGCACGGGGGGGCTCGGCGGGCGGGGGCGCTCCGGTCCCGGCGCAAGCGGTGCCGTGCCGGGACCGGGGGATGGCGCTGAAACGGCGGCAGGGACGGGATTAAACACGGGCGTGTGCCCCGCCGCGGGGCCCGTGGGCGGCTCGGAGCGCCGGGGTTGGGGGGGCGGCAACGCGCGCAGGGGGCGCTGGGGACGCGGCGCGGCCGCGCCGGGCGCGCTCGGCACCGCACAGCCGGAAGCGGCAGGGAACGGCAAAGACGCAGCGGCAGCGACGGGGCTCGGGCCAGCACCGGCCCCGATGGGTCGGCAAAGGGGGCGAGGGGACGGGGGGGAAGCGGCGGCGGCGGCGGCAGGAGGAGGCGGGGCCGCGGTGACGCCGGTGGGCGGGGCCGTAAAAGCGGAAGTGAGGGGCGGGTCCCGCGGTAGCCGCGGCAGCCGGGACCGACGGGACGGCAAAGGCGGGGATGGCGGCAGCGGCGGGAGGGGCCGGGGCGCGGGGCGGGAGGGGCGAGCAGCGCCGCGGGTACCGTGGGGTCCGGCGGGGAGGGGGGGGGCGTGTCCCGCTGGAGCCTCGCGGCGGGAAGGGGCGGAGTCGCGGCAGGAAGGGGCGGAGTCGCGGCAGGGGCGGAGCTGGGCGGGGCGGCCGCTGCGGGCACCCCCCGTGCGGCAAACGGAGCTCGAGCGGCGCCCGGCGGGCTGGGAGCGGCCCCGCGGCAGCCATGGCTCGGCACGAGATATGAATAAAGAGCTTTAAAAACGTGTCCGGAGTTTCTGGTTTAAATGGCTGAACGGCAGTTTTGCGACAGTCGCGCTTAACGGCCCCTTTTACGACAGTCGCGGTTTGCCGCAATTTTACGACAGTCGCGCTTTACGGCGCCTTTAACGGCAGTCGCGCTTTACGGCACCTTCTACGACAGTCGCGCTTTACGGCAGTTTTGCGACATCCGCGCTTTACGGCACCTTTTGCGACAGTCGCGCTTTACGGCGCCTTTTACGACAGTCGCGCTTTACGGCCGCTTTTACGACAGTTGTGCTTTACGGCACCTTTTACGACAGTTTTGCTTTACGGCACCGTTTACGACAGTCGCGCTTTACGGCCCCTTTTACGGCATCCGCGCTTTACGGCGCCTTTTACGACAGTTTTGCTTTACGGCCCCTTTTACGACAGTCTCGCTTTACGGCACCTTTTACGACATCCGCACTTTACGGCACCTTTTACGACAGTCGCGCTTTACGGCACCTTTTGCGACATCCGCGCTTTACGGCACCATTTACGACATCCGCGCTTTACGGCCCCTTTTGCGACAGTTTTGCTTTACGGCACCTTTTACGACATCCGCGCTTTACGGCCCCTTTTACGACAGTCGCGCTTTACGGCCGCTTTTACGACATCCGCGCTTTACGGCCCCTTTTACGACAGTCGCGCTTTACGGCCGCTTTTACGACATCCGCGCTTTACGGCCCCTTTTACGACATCCGCGCTTTACGGCCCCTTTTGCGACAGTTGCGCTTTACGGCACCTTTTACGACAGTCGCGCTTTACGGCACCTTTTACGACAGTTTTGCTTTACGGCCCCTTTTACGACATCCGCACTTTACGGCACCTTTTGCGACATCCGCGCTTTACGGCCCCTTTTGCGACAGTCGCGCTTTACGGCCCCTTTTGCGACAGTCGCGCTTTACGGCACCGTTTACGACATCCGCGCTTTACGGCCCCGCCTTTTATGGAATTTTTCCGGTATTTTCCAGCACTTTACGGTTTTTATTTTGTTTTTTATTCATTTTTAATGAATTGAATTTTTTTCATTTTTTAAGTTTTATTTTGAATTTTTCTATTTTTAAGGCTTTTTCGTTTATTATTTTCATTTTGTTTCGTTTTTATGTAATTTTTATTTTTAATTTTACTATTTTTTTAAAGCGTTTATTTTGTGTTTTATTTCATTTTTATTTTAAATTTTTCTGTTTTTCAAGCTTTTTACATCATTTTTTAATTTTTAAAATTAATTTTAATTTTTAATTTTTCTATTTTTAAATCATTCATTATTTTTTTAAAATTTTATTTTTTATTTGTATTTTTAATTTTTCTATTTTTAAAGCATTTATTTTATTAATTTTTTAAATTTTTCTATTTTTAAAGATTTTTATTTTATTTTTTTAAATTTTGGTTTAAGTTAATTTTTATTTTTAATTTTTCGTTTTTTAAAGCTTTTTATTTTATTTTTTAAATTTTAGTTTAATTTTTATTTTTCATTTTTCTCATTTTAAAGCTTTTATTTCATTTTTAAATTTTTTAAGTTAATTTTTATTGTTCTTTTTTGTATTTTTAAAGCTTTTTATTTTATTTTTTAATTTTTAATTTAATCTTTATTTTTAATTTTTCTACTTTTAGAGCTTTTTATTTTATTTTTATTTTATTTTTATTTTTAAGTTTTCTATTTTTAAAGCTTTTTAAAAAATTTTTTAAATTTTATTTTTTATTTATTTTTAATTTTTCTATTTTTAAAGCATTTATTTTTTCATTTTATTTTTTAATTTTTTATTTTTAATTTTTCTTTTTTTAAAGCATTTTTTTATTTTTAAATTTTATTTTAAATTTAATTTTTATTTTCAATTTCTTTATTTTTAAAGCATTTAATTTTAATTTTATTTTTAATATTTCTATTTTTAAAACTTTTTATTTTTTTACTTTTTATTTGATTTTTAAAGCTTTTTATTTTAATTTTTTCATTTTATTTTTTATTTATTTTTAATTTTTCTATTTTTAAAGCTTTTTATTTTTTCATTTTATTTTTTATTTTTTATTTTTAATTTTTGTATTTTTAAAGCATTTATTTTAGTTTATAATTTTATTTTTTATTTATATGTAATTTTTCTATTTTTAAAGCATTTATTTTATTTTTTTATTTTTTATTTTAAATTTTTTTTTTAATTTTTCTATTTTCAAAGCATTTCTTTTCCTTTTTCAATTTTCTTTTCAATTTAATTTTTATTTTTCATTTTTCTATTTTTAAAGCATTTATTTTTAAAATTTTTTATTATTTTTAATTTTTCTATTTTTAAAGCTTTTTATTTTAATTTTTTAATGTTATTTTTTATTTATTTTTAATTTTTTCTATTTTTAAAGCATTTATTTTATTTTTTAATTTTTGTCCCTTTTAGTCCCATTTTGGTGCCTTTTCCCCCCATTTTTGTCCCATTTTTTCCCATTTTTGTCCCATTTTTTCCCCATTTTTCCCATTTTTGTCCCATTTTTGTCCCCTCCCCCCCTTGTGGCCACCACAATTTTTTTGCCAAAATCTTTTATTGCCGCCCCTCCCCCACCCCAAAATCTCCAAAAAACCCCAAAAAACCCCAAATAAATATCCAAGAAAAAAATTCCATGAAAAAAAAGGGGAATTTCGGGCAATCCCGGGGATTTTTGGGGGAAATTTGGGGAATTTTGGGGCTCCCCGATTATCACACGGTGATAAGGCAGCGCTGACAGCCCCGGGCGGGGCCGATTTGGGGGAATTTGAGGGGATTTTGGGCAATTTCCAAAGGAATTTTGGGAATTTTTAGGGGATTCGGAAGAGTTTTCGGCTGTACAAAATTTACAAAGGGGGGAAATTCCAAAAAATTGGGGAGAAATTCCTAAAATTGGGGAAAAATCCTAAAAAATTGAGGGGGAAGGGGGGGAAATTCCAAAAATTGGGGGGGGAAATCCCAAAAATTGGGGGGAAAATCCCAGAAATTTTGGGAGAAAATTCCCAAAAATTTGGGGCAAAAATCCCAGAAATTTTGGGAGAAAAATCCCAAAAATTGGGGGGAGGAAAAGTCTCAAAATTGGGGGAAAATCCCAGAAATTTTGGGAGAAAATTCCCAAAAATTGGGGGGGGTAAAAGTCTCAAAATTGGGGGAAAATCCCAGAAATTTTGGGAGAAAATTCCCCAAAATTGGGGGAAGAAAAGTCTCAAAATTGGGCGGAAAAAATAAAAAAAAATTGGAGGGGGGGAAGCCAAAATTAGGGGGGGAAATCCTAAAATTTGGAGGGAAAAATCCCAGAAATGTTGGGATAAAATTCCCAAAAATTGGGCAGGGAAAAGTCTCAAAATTGGGGGAAAATCCCAGAAATTTTGGGAGAAAATTCCCAAAAATTGGGGGAGGAAAAGTCTCGAAATTTGGTGGAAAAATCCCAGAAATTTTGGGTGAAAATTCCCAAAAATTAGGGGGGAAAAAGTCTCAAAATTGGGGGAAAATCCCAGAAATTTTGGGAGAAAATTCCCAAAAATTGGGCAGGGAAAAGTCTCAAAATTGGGTGGAAAAAATAAAAAAAAATTGAAGCCAAAATTAGGGGGGAAATCCTAAAATTTGGAGGGAAAAATCCCAGAAATTTTGGGAGAAAATTCCCAAAAATTGGAGGGGGGCAAAGTCTCAAAATTGGGGGAAAATCCCCAAAATTTGGGGGGGAAAAATCCTTAAAATTTGGGCTTTACCTGGAGAGAAAAATCCCCAAAATTTGGGATTTATTTGGTGGAGAAAAATACAAAAAATTGGTGAGAAAAATTCCTGAAATTTTGGGGAAAAAATCCCAAAAATTTGGGATTTACTTGGGGGGAAAATCCTAAAATTTGGGATTTAGAGGGAGGGAAAAAAATCCTAAAAATTTGAGGGAAAATCCCCAAAATTTGGGATTTACAGGAAGGGAAAAAAATCCTAAAAATTTGAGGGAAAATCCCCAAAATTTGGGATTTACAGGAAGGGAAAAAAATCCTAAAAATTTGAGGGAAAATCCCCAAAATTTGGGATTTTTCAGGTGGAGGAAAATACAAAAAATTTGTGAGAAAAATTCCTGAAATTTTGGGGTAAAATCCCTAAAATTTGGGATTTACAAGGAGGGAAAAGATCCTAAAAATTTGAGGGAAAATTCCTAAAATTTGGGTTTTACCTGTGCCAAAAATTTGGGATTTTTCTCGAGGAGAAAAATACAAAAAAATTGTGAGAAAAATCCCCAAAATTTGGGATTTAGAGGGAGGGAAAAAATCCTAAAAATTTGAGGGAAAATCCCTAAAATTTGGGATTTACTTGGGGGGAAAATCCTAAAATTTGGGATTTAGAGGGAGGGAAAAAATCCTAAAAATTTGAGGGAAAATCCCCAAAATTTGGGATTTTTCTGGAGGAAAATGTGAAAAAACGGAGGAAAAAAAATCCTAAAAAATTGGGAAAAAAAAATCCCTAAAATTTGGGATTTCAAATCGTCCCAAATTCCAGGGGGGGCGGGGACAGGTGACAATGGCAGGTGCCACCTCACCTGTCCAGGTGCCACCTCAGGTGTGTCACACCCGCTCTGTGGGCAGGGGGAGGTGACAGAGGCCACCACAGGTGCCACCAACAGGTGGAGAAAGCAACGGCGCCACCTCCTGCTCCTCGTGTCCCCAGATGCCACCAGGTGTGTCCAGGTGTCCCCAGGTGCCACCAGGTTGTGTCCAGGTGTCCCCAGGTGCCACTGACACCCTGGCACCGCTTCCTGTCCTGTCCTGGTGCTGTCCCCAGGTGTGTCCAGGTGTCCCCAGGTGTGTCCAGGTGTCCCCAGGTGCCACTGACACCCTGGCATCGCTTCCTGTCCTGTCCTGGTGCTGTCCCCAGGTGTGTCCAGGTGCCACCAGGTGTGCCCAGGTGTCATCCCAGGTGCCACCAGGTGCCACCAACACACGGAGAAATGAACGGCGCCACCTCCTGATGGGTTGCGGTGCTGTCCCCAGGTGCCACCAGGTGAGTTCTCAGGTGTCCCCAGGTGTGTCCCCAGGTGAGTTCCCAGGTGTCACCAGGTGTCCCCAGCTGTGCCCAGGTGCCACCAGGTGTGCCCAGGTGTGCCCAGGTGTGTCCCCAGGTGCCACCAGGTGAGTTCCCAGCTGTCCCCGGGTGAGTTCTCAGGTGTTCCCAGATGCCACCAGGTGTGCCCAGGTGTGTCCCCAGGTGTTCCCAGGTGCCACCAGGTGAGTCCCCAGGTGTCCCCAGGTGTGTCCCCAGGTGAGTCCCCAGGTGTGTCCCCAGGTATCACCAGGTGTCCCCAGGTGTGCCCAGGTGTCACCAGATGAGTCCCCAGCTGTCCCCAGCTGTCCCCAGGTGAGTCCCCAGGTGTCCCCAGGTATCACCAGGTGAGTCCCCAGGTGTCCCCAGGTGTCTCCAGGTGAGTCCCCAGCTGTCCCCAGGTATCACCAGGTGTCCCCAGGTGAGTCCCCAGGTGTCCCCAGGTGTGTCCCCAGGTGTGTCCCCGGGTATTCCCAGGTGTGCCCAAGTGTGCCCAGGTGTGCCCAAGTGTGCCCAGGTGTGTCCCCAGGTGTGTCCCCAGGTGTGTCCCCCAGGTGTCCCCAGGTGTGTCCCCAGGTGTTCCCAGCTGTGCCCAGGTGTCCCCAGGTGTGTCCCCAGGTGCCACCGGGTGAGTTCTCAGGTGTCCCCAGGTGCCACCGGGTGAGTTCTCAGGTGTTCCCAGATGCCACCAGGTGTGCCCAGGTGTGTCCCCAGGTATTCCGAGGTGAGTCCCCAGCTGTCCCCAGGTGTGTCCCCAGGTGAGTCCCCAGGTGAGTCCCCAGCTGTCCCCAGGTGAGTCCCCAGGTGTCCCCAGGTGTGCCACCAGGTGAGTCCCCAGGTGTCCCCCGGTGTCCCCAGGTGAGTTCCCAGCTGTCCCCAGGTGCCACCAGGTGTGCCCAGGTGTGCCCGGGTGTGTCCCCAGGTGTGTCCCCAGGTGAGTCCCCAGGTGAGTTCCCAGCTGTCCCCAGGTGAGTTCCCAGGTGTCCCCAGGTGAGTTCCCAGGTGTCCCCAGGTGCCACCAGGTGAGTTCCCAGGTGTGTCCCCAGGTGTGTCCCCAGGTGTCCCCAGGTGTCCCCAGGTGAGTCCCCAGGTGTGTCCAGGTGAGTCCCCAGGTGTCCCCAGGTGTCCCCAGGCGTCCCCAGCTGTCCCCAGGTGCCACCAGGTGAGTTCCCAGGTGAATTTCCAGGTGTGTCCCCAGGTGAGTCCCCAGGTATTCCCAGCTGTGCCCAGGTATTCCCAGCTGTGCCCAGGTATTCCCAGCTGTCCCCAGGTGTGTCCCCAGATGAGTCCCCAGGTGTGCCCAGGTGTGTCCCCAGGTGTCCCCCCAGGTGTCCCCAGGTGTCACACGAACACCTTGGCCAGGGCGTCGGCGCCGGCGCTGGCGCTGAGGGCGCGGCGGGGGTGAAAGGCCACGGCCAGCACGGCCTCGTGGTGCTTGCGGCGATGGGCGGGGAGCTCCTGCACACAGGTGTGGTCAGACAGGTGCCAGAGCCGGAGAGAGCAGTCGTGACCTGGGGACAGAGAGAGACAGGTGACACAGGTGACACAGGTGAGATCACACAGGTGACACAGGTGACACAGGTGAGGGACAGCTCCTGCACACAGGTGTGGTCAGACAGGTGCCAGAGGCGGAGAGAGCAGTCGTGACCTGGGGACAGAGAGGGGACACAGGTGACACAGGTGAGATCACACAGGTGACACAGGTGACACAGGTGAGATCACACACAGGTGACACAGGTGACACAGGTGTGATAGGACAGCTGCCACAGGCGCATGGAGCAGTCGTGACCTGGGGACACAGAGGGACAGGTGAGGGGACACAGGGGACACAGGTGACACAGGTGACACAATGGACACAGGTGAGATCACACACAGGTGAGGGACAGCTCCTGCGCACAGGTGAGGGGACAGAGGGGACACACAGGTGACACAGGTGTGGTCAGACAGGTGCCAGAGCCGCAGGGAGCAGTCGTGACCTGGGGACACAGAGAGGGGACACAGGTGACACAGGTGAGTGGACAGAGGGGACACAGGTCAGGGACAGCTCCTGCACACAGGTGTGGTCAGACAGGTGCCAAAGGCGGAGAGAGCAGTCGTGACCTGGGGACAGAGAGGGACAGGTGACACAGGTGACACAGGGGACACAGGTGACACAGGTGTGGTCAGACAGGTGCCAGAGCCGGAGAGAGCAGTCGTGACCTGGGGACAGAGAGAGAGGGGACAGGTGACACAGGTGACACAGGTGAGGGACAGCTCCTGCACACAGGTGTGGTCAGACAGGTGCCAGAGCCGCAGGGAGCAGTCGTGACCTGGGGACACAGAGAGGGGACACAGGTGACACAGGTGACACAGGTGAGGGACAGCTCCTGCACACAGGTGTGGTCAGACAGGTGCCAGAGGCGGAGGGAGCAGTCGTGACCTGGGGACACAGAGAGGGGACACAGGTGACACAGGTGACACAGGTGTGGTCAGACAGGTGCCACAGGTGGAGAGAGCAGTCGTGACCTGGGGACAGAGAGGGACAGGTGAGGTGACACAGGTGACACAGATCACACACAGGTGACACAGGTGACACAGGTGTGGTCAGACAGGTGCCACAGGCGGAGAGAGCAGTCGTGACCTGGGGACACAGAGAGGGGACACAGGTGACACAGGTGACACAGGTGAGATCACACAGGTGACACAGGTGAGATCACACAGGTGCACACAGGTGACACAGGGGACGGACAGCTCCTGCACACAGGTGTGGTCAGACAGGTGCCACAGGCGGAGAGAGCAGTTGTGACCTGGGGACAGAGAGAGAGGACACAGGTGACACAGGTGACACAGGTGAGATCACACAGGTGACACAGGTGACACAGGTGGAGAGAGCAGTCGTGACCTGGGGACAGAGAGGGGGGACAGGTGACACAGGTGAGGTGACACACATGATACAGGTGACACAGGTGACACAGGTGACACAGGTGTGGTCAGACAGCTGCCACAGGCACAGGGAGCAGTCGTGACCTGGGGACACAGAGGGGACAGAGAGGGGACACAGGGGACACAGGTGAGATCACAGGTGAGATCACACAGGTGACACAGGGGACACAGGTGAGGGACAGCTCCTGCACACAGGTGTGGTCAGACAGGTGCCACAGGCGGAGGGAGCAGTCGTGACCTGGGGACACAGAGGGGACACAGGTGACACAGGTGACACAGGTGAGATCACACACAGGGGACACAGGTGACACAGGTGACACAGGTGACACAGGTGTGGTCAGACACAGGTGAGGGACAGCTCCTGCACACAGGTGTGGTCAGACAAGTGCCAGAGCCGGAGAGAGCAGTCGTGACCTGGGGACAGAGAGGGGGGGACAGGTGAGGGGACACAGGTGACACAGATCACACACAGGTGACACAGGTGCCACAGGCGGAGAGAGCAATCGTGACCTGGGGACACAGAGAGGGGACAGGTGACACAGGTGACACAGGTGAGATCACACAGGTGACACAGGTGACACAGGTAAGGGGACAGGGGGGACACACAGGTGCCACAGGTGAGATCACACAGGTGACACAGGTGTGGTCAGACAGGTGGCACAGGCGGAGAGAGCAGTCGTGACCTGGGGACACAGAGGTGACACAGGTGACACAGGTGACAGAGGGGACACAGGTGACAGGTGCGGTCACAGAGGGGACACAGGTGACACAGGTCTGGGGACAAAGAGGGGGCAGAGGTGACACACCTGGGGACACTGGGAGAGGTGGCAATGACAAGGGTCACTCATGGTCACCCATTGGTCACTCAGTGGTCATTGGTCACCCACTGGTCACCCATTGGTCACCCATTGGTCAGTCATTGGTCACTCTGTGGTCATTGGTCACCCATTGGTCACCCGATGGTCACCCGTTGGTCACCCATTGGTCATTGGTCACCCATTGGTCACTCATGGTCACCCATTGGTCACCCATTGGTCAGTGGTCACCCATTGGTCACCCATTGGTCATTGGTCACCCATTGGTCACCCATTGGTCACTCACTGCCGGACAGCAGGAAGGCTCCGCTGGGGTCCAGGGCCAGGCAGGTGACGGCGTCCAGGTGAGCGACCATGGAGTGCACGACCTCACCTGGGGAGGGGCGGGGCCAGCGCCGTCACCACGGAGACGCCGCGTGACCCCGGTGACGTCACCACGGAGACCCCGCGTGACCCCGGTGACGTCACCATGGAGACCCCGCGTGACCCCGGTGACGTCGCCACGGAGACCCCGTGTGACCCTGGTGACGTCACCACGGAGACCCCGCGTGACCCCGGTGACGTCACCATGGAGACGCCGCGCGACCCCCGGTGACGTCACCACGGAGACGCCGCGCGACCCCCCCCCCGGTGACGTCGCCATGGAGACGCCGCGCGACCCCGGTGACCCCCAATTACCCTAATGACCCTAATTACCCCCTAATGACCCCTAATGACCCCCAATTACCCCTAATTACCCCCTACATAACCCTCTAATGACCCCTAATACCCCATAATGATCCCTAATGCCCCCTAATGACCCTAATTACCCCTAATCACCCTAATTACCCCCTAATGACCCCAATTCCCCCTAATCACCCCAATCACCCCCAATTACCCCCTAATTACCCCGTACATAACCCTCTAACGAGCCCTAATTACCCCATAATGATCCCTATTACCCCAATGACCCTAATTACCCCTAATGACCCCTAATCACCCTAATTCCCCCTAATTACCCACTAATTGTCCCCAATGACCCCTAATTACCCAGTAATGACCCCTAATTTCTGCCTAATCACCCCTAATTAACCCCTAATTATCCCCAATGACCCCTAATCACCTTAATTACCCCCTAATCACCCTAATGACCCTTAATTCCCCCCAATGACCCCTAATGCCCCCTAATGCCCCCTAATGACCCTAATGACCCTTAATTACCCCAATCACCTTAATGACCCTGTAATTACCCCTAATGACCTGAATTACTCCCTAATCACGCTAATGGCCCCATAATTACCCCCAATGCCACCTAATTACCCCAATTACCTCCTAATCACCCTAATGACCCCCTAATGACCCCCTAATGACCCTAATTACCCCTAATTACCCCCTAATTAAGGTAATTAACGGCCCTCACCTGTGCGGGTGTCCAGGTACCGGATGCTGCGGTCGTCGCTGGCCGTGATCCCCAGCGGCTGCGAGGGGTGGGCGAGCACCTGGTTCACCTGGGCACGGCCACCTGGGGACATTGGGGACATTGGGGACACCTGGGGGGACATTGGGGACACCTGGGGGGACATTGGGGACACCTGGGGGGACATTGGGGACACCTGGGACACCTGGGGACATTGGGGACACCTGGGGGGACACAGGGGGGACATTGGGGACAATGGGGACACCTGGGGACAGTGACAGTGAGCACCTGGTTCACCTGGGCACGGCCACCTGGGGACACATTGGGGACATTGGGGACATTGGGGACATTGGGGACACCTGGGGGCATTGAGGGCATTGGGGACAGTGACAGTGAGCACCTGGTTCACCTGGGCACGGCCACCTGGGGGGACAGCAGGGGACATTGGGGACATTGGGGACATTGGGGACACCTGGGACACCTGGTTCACCTGGGCACGGCCACCTGGGGGGACATTGGGGACATTGGGGACACCTGGGGACACCTGGTTCACCTGGGCACGGCCACCTGGGGGGACAGCGGGGACATTGGGGACATTGGGGACACCTGGGACACCTGGGGACAGTGACAGTGAGCACCTGGTTCACCTGGGCACGGCCACCTGGGGGGACACTGGGGACATTGGGGACATTGGGGACACCTGGGGACACCTGGGATACCTGGGCATGGACACCTGGGGGGACACAGGGGGGACATTGGGGACACCTGGGACACCTGGGCACGGCCACCTGAGGGGACACATTGGGGACATTGGGGACACCTGGGACACCTGGGGACATTGGGGACACCTGGGACACCTGGGACACCTGGGACACCTGGGCACGGCCACCTGGGGACATTGGGGACATTGGGGACATTGGGGACACCTGGGGACACCTGGTTCACCTGGGCACGGCCACCTGGGGGACACATTGGGGACATTGGGGACACCTGGGGGGACATTGGGGACACCTGGGGACAGTGACAGTGAGCACCTGGTTCACCTGGGCACGGCCACCTGGGGGGACAACGGGGACATTGGGGACACCTGGGGACATTGGGGACACCTGGGGACATTGGGGACATTGGGGACACCTGGGACACCTGGGCACGGCCACCTGGGGACAATGGGGGCATTGGGGACACCTGGGACACCTGGGGACACCTGGGGACACCTGGGGACAGTGACAGTGAGCACCTGGTTCACCTGGGCACGGCCACCTGGGGACATTGGGGACATTGGGGACATTGGGGACACCTGGGGACATTGGGGACACCTGGGGACACCTGGTTCACCTGGGCATGGACACCTGGGGGGACAGCGGGGACATTGGGGACATTGGGGACATTGGGGACACCTGGGGACACCTGGGGGCATTGGGGACACCTGGGGACACCTGGGGACATTGGGGACATTGGGGACACCTGGGACACCTGGGGACATTGGGGACATTGGGGACACCTGGGACACCTGAGGGGTGGGCGAGCACCTGGTTCACCTGGGCACGGCCACCTGGGGGACACATTGGGGACATTGGGGACATTGGGGACACCTGGTTCACCTGGGCACGGCCACCTGGGGACATTGGGGACATTGGGGACATTGGGGACATTGGGGACACCTGGGACACCTGGTTCACCTGGGCACGGCCACCTGGGGACAACGGGGACATTGGGGACATTGGGGACACCTGGGACACCTGGGGACATTGGGGGCATTGGGGACACCTGGGGGCATTGGGGACATTGGGGACAATGGGGACACCTGGGGACAGTGACAGTGAGCACCTGGTTCACCTGGGCACGGCCACCTGGGGGGACACAGGGGACATTGGGGACACCTGAGGGGACATTGGGGACATTGGGGACATTGGGGACACCTGGGGACATTGGGGACACCTGGTTCACCTGGGCACGGCCACCTGGGGGGACACTGGGGACACCTGGGCACATTGGGGGGTGGCTCAGGTGGCCCCAGGTGACTCCAGGTGATCTCAGGTGGCCCCAGGTCGCCCTTGGGGACATTGGGGACACTGGGGGGGGGGGGTTCAGGTGGCCCCAGGTGACCCTTGGGGACATTGTGGGGTTCAGGTGACCCTTGGGGACACTGGGGAGGTTCAGGTGACCCCAGGTGATCTCAGGTGGCCCCAGGTGACCCTTGGGGACACTGGGGGGGGTTCAGGTGACCCTTGGGGACATTGTGGGGGTTCAGGTGACCCTTGGGGACACTGGGGAGGTTCAGGTGGCCCTTGGGGACATTGGGGACATTGGGAGGGGTTCAGGTGATCTCAGGTGACCCTTGGGGACATTGTGGGGGTTCAGGTGACCCTTGGGGACATTGTGGGGGTTCAGATGACCCTTGGGGACATTGGGGACATTGGGGACATTGGGGGGGGGGTGACTCACCGCCGTTTGGGGACACCAGGGTGGCCTTGGTGGCCTCGAGGTCGTAGAGCACGGTGGCACCGGAGCGGAAGCCGGCCAGCAGGTGGGCGGGCTGGGAGGGGACAAAGGCCACCGAGGTGGGGACGCCGTGATCTGAAACACAGACAGGTGAGGGGACAGGTGTGTGACAGGTGTGTGACAGGTGTGTGACAGGTGTGTGACACAAATGTCACCGAGGTGGGGACGCCGTGATCTGAAACACAGGTGAGGGGACAGGTGTGTGACAGGTGTGTGACAGGTGTGTGACACAAATGTCACTGAGGTGGGGACGCCGTGATCTGAAACACAGACAGGGACAGGTGAGGGACACCTGGGGACAGGTGTGTGACACAAAGGCCACCGAGGTGGGGACGCCGTGATCTGAAACACAGACAGGTGTGACAGGTGAGGGGACAGGTGTGTGACAGGTGTGTGACACAAACGCCACCGAGGTGGGGACGCTGTGATCTGAAACCAATGGGGACAGGTGTGACAGGTGTGTGACACTGGGGGACAGGTGTGTGACACAAAGGCCACCGAGGTGGGGACACCGTGATCTGAAACACAGACAGGTGAGGGACACCTGGGGCCAGGTGTGTGACAGGTGTGACACTGGGGACAGGTGTGTGACAGGTGTGACAGGTGTGTGACACAAATGTCACCGAGGTGGGGACGCCGTGATCTGAAACACAGACAGGGACAGGTGTGACAGGTGTGTGACAGGTGTGATACAAAGGCCACCGAGGTGGGGACGCCGTGATCTGAAACACAGACAGGGACAGGTGTGACAGGTGTGTGACAGGTGTGATACAAAGGCCACCGAGGTGGGGACGCCGTGATCTGAAACCAACAGGGACAGGTGAGGGACACCTGGGGACAGGTGTGACACAAACGCCACCGAGGTGGGGACACAGTGATCTGAAACCAATGGGGACAGGTGTGACAGGTGAGGGGACAGGTGTGTGACAGGTGTGACACAAATGCCACCGAGGTGGGGACGCCGTGATCTGGAACCAATGGGGACAGGTGAGGGGACAGGTGAGGGACACCTGGGGACAGGTGTGTGACACTGGGGACAAATGTCAGCGAGGTGGGGACGCCGTGATCTGAAACACAGACAGGTGAGGGACACCTGGGGACAGGTGTGTGACAGGTGTGTGACACAAAGGCCACTGAGGTGGGGACGCCGTGATCTGGAACCAATGGGGACAGGTGAGGGGACAGGTGAGGGGACAGGTGTGTGACAGGTGTGACACAAATGTCACCAAGGTGGGGACGCCGTGATCTGAAATGGGGACAGGTGTGTGACACCTGCACAGGTGTGTCCCCAACATCCCCAGGTGTGTGTGTGTGTGTGTCCCCCCGTAATTGTCCCAATGTCCCCAGTGTCCCCAGGTGTGTCCCCAGGTATGTCCCCAGGTGTGTCCCGTGCTCACCTGGCTGCCCTCCCAGCACGCTCAGGCAGGCGCCCGCGCTGTCCCCGTTGCTGTCCCCAGGTGTGTCCCCAATGTCCCCAGGTGTGTCCCCAATGTCCCTAGGTCACTCAGGTGTGTCCCCAATGTCCCCAGTGTCCCCAGGTGCTCACCTGGCTGCCCTCCCAGCACACTCAGGCAGGTGCCCGCGCTGTCCCCGCCGCTGTCCCCGTTGGTGTCCCCAATGTCCCCAGGTGTGTCCCCAGGTGTGTCCCCAATGTCCCCAGGTGTGTCCCCAATGTCCCCAGGTGCTCACCTGGCTGCCCTCCCAGCACACTCAGGCAGGCGCCCGCGCTGTCCCCGTTGCTGTCCCCGTTGGTGTCCCCAATGTCCCCAATGTCCCCAGGTGTGTCCCCAATGTCCCCAATGTCCCCATGCTCACCTGGGTGCCCTCCCAGCACGCTCAGGCAGGCTCCCGCGCTGTCCCCAGCGCTGTCCCCAGTGTCCCCAATGTCCCCAGGTGTGTCCCCAATGTCCCCAATATCCCCAATGCCCCAAGGTCACTCAGGTGTGTCCCCAGGTGTGTCCCCAATGTTCCCAAGTCACTCAGGTGTGTCCCCAATGTCCCCAGGTGTGTCCCATGCTCACCTGGGTGCCCTCCCATCACGCTCAGGCAGGCGCCCGCGCTGTCCCCAGGTGTGTCCCCAGGTGTGTCCCCGTTGGTGTCCCCGCGCGGGTCCCACAGGCGCACGGTGCCATCGGCCGAGCACGAGGCCAGGCGGCGCCCGGTGACGTCGAAGGCCAGGGCCCAGACGGCGTCAGAGTGGCCCTCGAGGACCCCCCGGAGCACGCGCGGGTCTGGGGACACACAGGGGACATCAGTGGGGACAATGGGGACATTGGGGACAATGGGGGATTGGGGGGATTGTGGGGGATTGGGGACATTGGGGACAATGGGGACATTTGGGATGCTGGGGACATCAGTGGGGACAGCCAGGGGACATTGGGGACATTGGGGAGATTGGGGGGATTGGGGACAATGGGGACACTGGGGGGGATTGGGGACATTGGGGACATCAGTGGGGACATCAGTGGGGACATTGGGGACAAGGGGGGATTGGGGGCATTGGAGGACAATGGGGAGATTGAGGGGACTGGGGACATTGGGGGCAATGTGGGGGATTGGGGACATTTAGGGGACATTTAGGGGACATTTAGGGGACATTGGGGACAATGGGGACATTGAGGGGATTGGGGACATTGGGGGACATTTAGGGGACATTGAAGGGGATTGGGGACATTGGGGACATTGGGGGATTGGGGGCAGCATTGTCCCCATGTCCCCAGGTGTCAGAGTGGCCCTCGAGGACCCCCCGGAGCACGCGCGGGTCTGGGGATGGACAGGGGACATCAGTGGGGACACACAGGGGACATTGGGGACATCGCTGGGGACATTGGGGACATCAGTGGGGACATTGGGGACAATGGGGGGATTGGGCGTATTGGGGACATTGCGGGGATTGGGGACATTGGGGACATTTGGGATGCTGGGGACATTGGGGGCATTGTGGGGGACTGGGGACATTGGGGGGACAATGGGGACACTGGGGACATCAGTGGGGACATCGGGGGATTGGGGGCATTCGGGACAATGGGGACAATGGGACATTAGGGGGATTGGGGACATCAGTGGGGACATTGGGGGGCCATTGGGGGAGACTGGGGGGGTTGGGGACATTGGGGACATTGGGGACAGCATTGTCCCCATGTCCCCAGGTGTCAGAGTGGCCCTCGAGGACCCCCCGGAGCACGCGCGGGTCTGGGGACACACAGGGGACATCAGTGGGGACACACAGGGGACATTGGGGACATTGGGGACAATGGGGGGGATTGGGGACATTTGGGGGGATTGGGGACATTTGGGATGCTGGGGACATTGGGGACATTGAGGGATTGGGGACATCAGTGGGGACAGCCAGGGGACATTGGGGAGATTGGGGGGATTGGGGACAATGGGGACACTGGGGGGGATTGGGGACATTGGGGACATTGAGGGGACATTGGGGACAATGGGGAGATTGGAGACACCAGTGAGGACATTGGGGGGACATTGGGGGACATCACTGGGGACATTAGGGGCATTGTGGGGGATTGGGGACAATGGGAGGGATTGGGGACAATGGAGACAGTGGGGGACATTGGGGACATCAGTGGGGACATTAGGGGGGATTGGGGACATTGGGGACACTGGGGGGCATTGGGGACACTGGGGACAATGGGGACAGCATTGTCCCCATGTCCCCAGGTGTCAGAGTGGACCTCGAGGACCCCCCGGAGCACGCGCGGGTCTGGGGACACACAGGGGACACACAGGGGACATCAGTGGGGACACACAGGGGACATTGGGGACAATGGGGGGATTGGGGACAATGGGGGGATTGGGCGGGTTGGGGACATTGCGGGGATTGGGGACATTGGGGACATTTGGGATGCTGGGGACATTGGGGGCATTGTGGGGGACTGGGGACATCAGTGGGGACATTGGGGACATTAGGGGAGACTGGGGGGATTGGGGGCATTGGGGGGACATTGGGGACATCAGTGGGGGGATTGGGGACAATGGGAACATTTGGGATGCTGGGGACATTGGGGGGACTGGGGACACTGGGAGGATTGGGACAATGGGGACATTGGGGGGATTCGGGACATTGGGGGGGACTGGGGGGGACTGGGGACATTGGGGGGTGAATGGGGACATTGGGGACAATGGGGACATTTGGGGACATTTGGGACGCTGGGGAGATTTGGGGACATTGGGGACAATGGGGACATTGGGGACAATGGGGACATCACTGGAGACATTGGGGACATTTGGGAATTGGGGACATTTGGGGACATGGGGGTGGGGTAGCATTGTCCTCATGTCCCCAGGTGCCACCCCAGCCCTGCTGTCCCCGGGTGCCACCACACCCCAATGTCCCCAATGTCCCCAAGTGCCACCCACACCCCAGGTGTCCCCGCTGTCCCCAGGTGTCCCCAATGGTGTCCCCGCTGTCCCCAGGTGCCACCCACACCCCAATGCCCCCAATGTCCCCGAGTGCCACCACACCCCAATGTCCCCAATGCCCCCAATGTTCCCAAGTGCCACCCACACCCCAGGTGTCCCCACTGTCCCCAATGTCCCCAGGTGCCACCGCACCCCAACGCCCCCAATGTCCCTGAGTGCCACCACACCCCAATGCCCCCAATGTCCCCGCTGTCCCCGAGTGCCACCCACACCCCAGGTGTCCCCAATGTCCCCAAGTGTCCCCAATGGTGTCCCCGATGTCCCCGCTGTCCCCAGGTGCCACCCACACCCCAATGCCCCCAATGTCCCCAATGTCCCCAATGTCCCCGAGTGCCACCACACCCCAATGTCCCCAATGTCCCCAAGTGTCCCCAATGGTGTCCCCAGGTGCCACCCACCGTAGCCATCGTAGGGGTCGCTGTCCAGCCCCGGGAGGCGCCAGCAGCGAATCCGAGCGTCCACCCCGGCGCTGCAGCACAGCCCGGTGGCACCGATGTCACCCGTGTCACCTGTGTCACCCGTGTCACCTGCCGCCACCGCCACCGCCAGCACGGGGCCCCTGGAATGGGGACAGAAATGGCAACGGTGGCACCGATGTCACCCGTGTCACCTGTGTCACCAATGTCACCCGCTGCCACCGCCACCACCAGCACGGGGCCCCTGAGTGACAGAAATGGCAACACTGTCACCTGTGTCACCTGTGTCACCCGTGTCACCTGTGTCACCTGCCGCCACCGCCAGCACGGGGCCCCTGAGTGACAGAAACCACACCTGTGTCACCAGTGTCACCTGTGTCACCCGTGTCACCCATGTCACCTGCCGCCACCGCCAGCACGGGGCCCCTGAGTGACAGAAATGGCAACACTGTCACCAGTGTCACCAGTGTCACCAGTGTCACCAGTGTCACCTGCTGCCACTGCCACCGCCAGCACGGGGCCCCTGAGTGACAGAAATGGGAATGGTGGCACCAATGTCACCAATGTCACCAGTGTCACCTGTGCCACCACCAGCACTGGGCCTCTGGATGGGGACAAAGGGACAGAAATGGCAACGGTGGCACCAATGTCACCAATGTCACCAATGTGACCAATGTCACCTGTGTCACCTGCTGCCACTGCCACTGCCAGCATGGGGCCCCTGAGTGACAGAAATGGCAACGGTGGCACCAATGTCACCAATGTCACCTGTGCCATTGCCACTGCCAGCATGGGGCCCCTGGAATGGGACAAAGGGACAGAAGTGTCACCAATGTCACCACCAGCACAGGGCCCATGGATGGGGACAAAGGGACAGAAATGGCAATGGTGGCACTGATGTCACCTGTGTCACCTGCTGCCACCACCAGCACTGGGCCTCTGGATGGGGACAAAGGGACAGAAGTGACACCAGTGTCACCAATGTCACCTGTGTCACTGCCAGCACGGGGCCCCTGGGTGGGGACAAAGGGACAGAAATCCCAATACAAGCACAGGAAGGTGACAATGAGGTGACACTGAAGGTGACACTGAAGGTGACAATGAGGTAACAAAGAGGTGACAATGAAGGTGACACTGAGGTGACACAGAGGTGACAATGAAGGTGACACTGAGGTGACACAGAGGTGACAAAGTGACAAAACCACAGGAATAAAGCCACAGTGACTGAGGTGACATTGAGGGTGACAGTGAGGTGACACTGAGGTGACAAAGAGGTGACAATGAAGGTGACACTGAGATGACACAGAGGTGACAAAGTGACAAAACACAGGAATAAAGCCACAACCACAAAGGTGACAATGAGGGTGACAACGAGGGGGACACTGAGGTGACACCGAGATAACGAAGATGTGACACTGAGGGGACACTGGGGTTACAATGAGGTGACACAGAGGGGACAACGAGGGGACATCAAGGTGACACCGAGCTGGCACAGAGGTGACACCGAGGTGACACCGAGGTGACAATGAGGTGACAATGAGGTGACAAAATGGCAAACCACAGCAATAAAGCCCCAACCACTGATGTGACAACGAAGGTGACACCGAGGTGACACCGACATGACACCGAAGGTGACAAAGTGACAAAGTGACAAAGTGACCGAACCTGTGCCCGCGGAAGGCGTACACGGGCTCCACGTCCAGCGCCGCGCTCCTGAGGGGACAACGGTGACAAACGGGGACAAACGGTGACGGCCACGCCCCCACCGCCACTGCCACCCCCATTGTCACCCCCATTGTCACCCATTTGTCGCCCCCTTGCCACCCATTTGTCACCTGTTTGTCGCCCCCATTATCACCCGTTTGTCACCCATCTGTCACCCATCTGTCACCCGTTTGTCACCCCCATTATCACCCATTTGTCACCCCCACTATCACCCATGTGTCACCCCCATTGTCACCCCCTTGTCACCCGTCTGTCACCCATTTCTCACCCATTTGTCACCCATGTGACCCCCATTTGTCACCCCCATTGTCACCCATGTGTCACCCATTTGTCACCCTCATTTGCCACCCGTTTGTCACCCGTCACCCCATTGTCACCCCCATTGTCACCCATCTGTCACCCATTTGTCACCCCCTTGCCACCCATTTGTCACCCGTTTGTCACCCCCATTATCACCCATTTGTCACCCCCATTATCACCCCTTTGTCACCCCCACTGTCACCCATCTGTCACCTGTCTGTCACCCCCATTGTCACCCATTTGTCACCCATTTGTCACCCCCATTATCACCCGTTTGTCACCCATCTGTCACCCATCTGTCCCCCATTTGTCACCCATTTGTCACCCGTTTGTCACCCCCATTATCACCCATCTGTCACCCCTTTGTCACCCATCTGTCACCCGTCTGTCACCCATCTGTCACCCCCCTTATCACCCATTTGTCACCCATGTGTCACCCCCATTGTCACCCGTCTGTCACCCATTTGTCACCCCCATTGTCACCCATTTCTCACCCATCTGTCACCCGTCTGTCACCCATTTCTCACCCCCTTGTCACCCCCTTGTCACCCATCTGTCACCCGTTTGTCACCCCCCATTATCACCCGTCTGTCATCCATCTGTCACCCGTCTGTCGCCCATTTCTCACCCGTTTGTCACCCATCTGTCACCCCCATTATCACCCATCTGTCACCCCTTTGTCACCCATCTGTCACCCCCTTGTCACCCCCATTGTCACCCGTTTGTCACCCACTTCTTGGGGCCCAGCGGCTTCTGCAGGTTCCAGAGCTTGAGGGTGGCGTCCTCGGAGGCCGTCACCAGCGCCGGGTGACCGGGGACAAAGGCCAGCGCCCGCACGGCGTCGTAGTGGCTGCGCAGCGTCAGCCGCGGGCTCCAGCTGCGCCGCGGGGACAGCGACGGTGCCTGGGGACACAAGGGTGGCACTTGGGGACACGTGGGGACACTGGGGACATGGGGGAACCAGGGCCATGGTGGCATTTGGGGACTTGGTGGCATTTGGGGACTTGGGGGAATCAGGGCCATGGTGGCATTTGGGGACCCGGTGGCACTTGGGGACACTGAGGACAGCTCCAGCTGCGCCGCGGGGACAGCGCCGGCACCTGGGGACACGCGGGGACACTTGGGGACATGGGGTGGCACCCGGGGACATGTGGGGACACTTGGGGACATTGGGGACATGGGGGAACCAGGGACTTGGTGGTATTTGGGGACAATGAGGACAGGCGCCTCAGGGACAGCGCTGGCACCTGGGACATGCGGGGACACTTGGGGACACGGGGTGGCACTTGGGGACACGCAGGGACATTTTGGGGACACTGGGTTATGGGAGGAACCAGGGCCTTGGTGGCATTTGGGGACAATGACAGCTCCAGCTGTGCCTTGGGGACAGCGCTGGCACCTGGGGACACAAGGGTGGCACTTGGGGACATGGGGTGACACTTGGGGACACGCTGGGACACAGCAGAATCGGGGTTTGGTGGCATTTGGGGACCCAGTGGCACTTGGGGACACTGGGGACATGGGGGAACCAGGGCCATGGTGACATTTGGGGACTTGGTGGCACTTGGGGACACTGAGGACAGGCACCTCAGGGACAGCGCTGGCACCTGGGGACATGCAGGGACACTTTGGGGACACTGGGTTATGGAAGGAATCAGGGCCTTGGTGGCACTTGGGGGAATCAGGGCCATGGTGGCATTTGGGAACATTCTGGGGACACTGAGGACAGCGCCGGCACCTGGGGACACGCGGGGACACTTGGGGACACGATGGGGACATGCGGGGGACACAGCAGAATCGGGGTGTGGTGGCATTTGGGGACCCGGTGGCACTTGGGGACACTGAGGACAGCTCCAGCTGCGCCGTGGGGACACTTGGGGACACTTTGGGGACACTGGGACTTGGGGATATTGGGGTATGGTGGCACTTGGGGACTTGGGGGAACCAGGGCCTTGGTGGCATTTGGGGACTTGGTGGCACTCGGGGACACGCGGGTGGCACTTGGGGACATTGGGGACATGGGGGAATCAGGGCCAGGGTGGCATTTGGGGACACTGAGGACAGCTCCAGCTACGCCTTGGGGACATGCGGGGACACTGGGGACACTGGGGACACTTTGGGGACACTTTGGGGACAGGTGGCATTGGGGACACTGGGGACACTGGGGACATTCAGGACAGGCAGGGGTGGTGGCACTGGGGACACTGGGGACACTGGGGACACTGGGGACACTGGGGACACTTTGGGGACACTTTGGGGACAGGTGTCACTCACGTCACCGCCGTCGTTGTCGTTGGTCACCGTCAGCTCCGCCAGGTCCCCGAGGCCGTCCAGGGCCAGCGCCTCGGCCTTGGGGACACCTGGGGACAATGGGGACAATGGGGTGGCCTTGGGGACACCGGGGTGGCCCTGGGGACAATGGGGACAATGGGGACACACAGGGACCCTGGGGACACCTGGGGACAATGGGGACACCGGGGTGGCCTTGAGGACCCTGGGGACAATGGGGACAATGGGGACAATGGGGACACCTGGGGACAATGGGGACACACAGGGACCCTGGGGACAATGGAGACAATGGGGACAGTGACATCGGGGTGGCCTTGGGGACACCTGGGGACAATGGGGACACCGGGGTGGCCTTGGGGACAATGGGGACACCCAGGGACCCTGGGGACAATGACACCAGGGTGGCCTTGGGGACATTGGGGACAATGGGGACAGTGACATCAGGGTGGCTTTGGGGACAATGGGGACAATGGGGTGGCCTTGGGGACACACAGGGACCCCCCAGGTGACACAGGTGACACACACAGGTGACACAGAGGTGACACACACAGGTGACACAGAGGTGACACACAGATGACACAGGTCACACCCACAGGTGACACAGAGAGGTGACACAGGTGACACACAGGTGACACAGGTGACAGACGCGTCCTCACCTTCCGGTGGCCGCGGTGGCCGCGGTGGCCCCAGGTCCCCGTCCCGCAGGTGGCACCGGTGGCTCTCTGTGACAATGGGGGTCAGGACATAGTGTCCCCAAAGTGTCCCCAAAGTGTCCCCAGCTGTCCCTGACCTCACCTCTGATGTCCCCAAAGTGTCCCCAAGGTGTCCCTGAGCTCACCTCTGAAGTCCCCAGGTGTCCCCAAGGTGTCCCCAGGTGTCCCCAAGGTGTCCCCAGGTGTCCCTGACCTCACCTCTGATGTCCCCAGGTGTCCCCAAGGTGTCCCCAAGGTCTCCCCAGGTGTCCCCAAGGTGTCCCCAGGCTCACCTCTGATGTCCCCAAGGTGTCCCCAGGTGTCCCCAAGGTGTCCCCAGGTGTCCCCAGGTGCCCCCAGGTGTCCCCAAGGTGTCCCCAGGTGTCCCCAAGGTGTCCCCAAGGTGTCCCCAAGCTCATCCCAGGTGTCCCCAAGGTGTCCCCGGGCTCACCTCTGATGTCCCCAGGTGTCCCCAAGGTGTCCCCAGGTGTCCCTGACCTCACCTCTGATGTCCCCAGGTGTCCCCAAGGTGTCCCCAAGGTGTCCCCAAGCTCATCCCAGGTGTCCCCAAGGTGTCCCCAAGCTCATCCCAGGTGTCCCCAAGGTGTCCCCAGGTGTCCCTGAGCTCACCTCTGATGTCCCCAGGTGTCCCCAGGTGTCCCCAAGGTGTCCCTGACCTCACCTCTGATGTCCCCAGGTGTCCCCAAGTGTCCCAAGGTGTCCCCAAGCTCATCCCAGGTGTCCCCAAGGTGTCCCCAGGTGTCCCTGAGCTCACCTCTGATGTCCCCAAGGTGTCCCCAGGTGTCCCCAAGGTGTCTCTGACCTCACCTCTGATGTCCCCAGGTGTCCCCAAGGTGTCCCCAGGTGTCCCTGGGCTCACCTCTGATGTCCCCAGGTGTCCCCAAGCTCACCTCTGATGTCCCCAGGTGTCCCCAAGGTGTCCCCAGGTGTCCCTGACCTCACCTCTGATGTCCCCAGGTGTCCCCAAGGTGTCCCCAGGTGTCCCCAGGAAGTCGAACTCGCCCAGGGCGTCCTCGGAATCTTCCTCATCTTCATCGTCCTCCTCCTCCTCCTCGGGGACCTTGGGGACGCTCTGGGGACAAAAGGGACACGAGGGTCAGGGCGGGGACAAAGAGGGACAAAAAAGGGACAAAAAATGGAGAAAAAAGGGACAAAAATCCTCCAAAAATTCCCTTAAAATCCCCCCCCAAATCCCCCCCAAAATTCTCCAAAAATTCCCTTAAAATCCCCCCCAAATCCCCCCAAAAATTCTCCAAAATTCCCTTAAAATCTCCCAAAATCCCCTCTAAAAGCCTTCCAAAAATTCCCCTAAAAATCCTCTGAAATCCCCAAAAATTCACAAAAAATTCCCCAAAAATTCCCTTAAAATCCCCCCAAATCCCCTCTAAAATTTCCTAAAAATTTCCACGAAAATTTCCCAAAAATTTCCACGAAAATTTCCTCTAAAAATCCTGAAATTCCTGAAAAATCCTCCCCAAATCCCCTAAAATTCCCAAAATGCCCCAAAAATTCCATTTAAAATCCCCCCAAAAATCCTGGAAAAATCCCTGAAAAATCCTCCCAAATCCCCCAAAATCCCCGAAAAATTCCCCAAAAATCTTCCAAAAATTCCCCAAAACTCCTCTAAAAATCCCCAAAAATTCACAAAAAATCCCCTAAAAATTCCCTTAAAATCCCCCCAAATTCCCCAAAAATTCTCTCTAAAATTTCCTCTAAAAATCCCCAAAAAATCCTCCCCAAATACCCCAAAATCCCCCAAAAATTCTCCAAAATTCCCTTTAAAATCCCCCCCAAATCCTCTGAAATTTCCCAAAAATCCTCCCAAATCCCCCAAAAATTCTCCAAAATTCCCTTAAAATCCCCCCAAAATCCTCTAAAATTTCCTAAAAATTTCCTCCGAAAATCTTCTAAAATTCCCTAAAAATCCCCTAAAAATTCCCAAAAAATCCTCCCAAATTCCCCAAAAATTCTCTAAAATTCCCCTCTAAAATTTCCTCTAAAAATCCTCCCAAAATCCCCTGAAAATCCCCTAAAAAATCCTCCCAAATACCCCAAAATCCCCTAAAAATCTCCTAAAAATTCCCCAAAAATCCTCTAAAAATTCCCCAAAATTCCCTTAAAATCCCCCCAAAATCCCCTAAAAATCTCCTAAAAATTCCTCAAAAATCCCCCAAAATTCCCTTAAAATCCCCCAAAAAATCCCCTAAAAATCCTCCCAAATACCCCAAAATCCCCTGAAAATCCCCTAAAAATTCCCAAAAAATCCTCCCAAAACCCCCAAAAATGCTCCAAATTTCCCCCAAAAATTCACAAAAAATTTCTTAAAAATCCCCCAAAAATCCTCCAAAAATTCCCTTAAAATCCCCCCCAAATCCTCTAAAATTTCCTCTAAAAATCTTCCAAAAAGTCCCCTAAAAATCCTCCCAAAATCCCCAAAAAATCCTCCTCAAATCCCTCAAAATCCCCTAAAAAAACCTCCCCAAATCTCCCAAAATCCCCCAAAAATTCTCCAAAATTCCCTTAAAATCCCCCCCAAATCCTCTGAAATTCCCCAAAAATCCTCCCCAAACCCTCCCAAAATCCCCCCAGAATCCTCTAAAATTTCCTAAAAATCCTCGAAAAATCTTTCAAAAAATCCTCCCCAAATACCCCAAAATCCCCTGAAATTCCCCAAAAATCCTCCCAAAATCCCCTGAAAAATCCCCAAAAATTCACAAAAAATTCCCTTAAAATCCCCCCAAATTCCCCAAAAATTCTTTAAAATTCCCTAAAAATTTCCTCTAAAAATCCTCCCAAAATCCTCTAAAATTCCCTAAAAATCCCCTAAAAAATCCCCTAAAAATCCTCCCAAAATCCCCCAAAAATCTCCTCAAAATTCCCCAAAAATCCTCCAAATACCCCAAAATCCCCTGAAAATCCCCTAAAAATTCCCAAAAAATCCTCCCAAAACCCCCAAAAATGCTCCAAATTTCCCCCAAAAATTCACAAAAAATTTCTTAAAAATCCCCCAAAAATTCCCTTAAAATCCCCCCCAAATCCTCTAAAATTTTCTCTAAAAATCTTCCAAAAAGTCCCCTAAAAATCCTCCCAAAATCCCCAAAAAATCCTCCTCAAATCCCTCAAAATCCCCTAAAAAATCCTCCCCAAATCTCCCAAAATCTCCTAAAAATTCCCCAAAATTCCCTTAAAATCCCCCCCAAAACCTCTGAAATTCCCCAAAAATCCTCCCCAAATCCCCCAAAAATCCCCTAAAAATTCCCAATAAACCCCCCAAAATCCCCTAAAAATTCCCAATAAACCCTCCCAAAATCCCCCAAAATGCCCCAAAATTCCCAAAATTCCCGAAATCCCCGGATTTGGGACCTTTCCCCTCCTGCGGGCGGGGGTGGGGGAGGGGCTCTCGGGCTCCTCCTCTTCATCGCTGTCATCCTCGGGGGGGGAGGGGCTGAGCCCGGCCTGCGGCTCCTTCCCGGCGTTCCTGGAGGGGGAAATGGGGGAAAAATCCCAAAAAAAGGGGGAAAAGAAAGGAAAAGAAAAGGGAAAAAGTTTAGGCAAAAAAAAATCCCCAAAAAATCCCAAAAAATTAAAAAAAATCCCCCAAAAAATCCCCAAAAAATTCCAAAAAATTGCAAAAAATTCCACCAAAAATCCCAAAAAAAGGGGGAAAAGAAAGGAAAAGAAAAGGGAAAAAATTAGGCCAAAAAAATCCCCAAAAAAATCCCCAAAAAAAAAAAAATCCCAAAAAATGCCCAAAAAATTCCAAAAAACCCCAAAAAATTGCAAAAAAATTCCACCAAAAATCCCAAAAAAAGGGGGAAAAGAAAGGAAAAGGAAAGGGAAAAATTTAGGCCCAAAAAAATCCCCAAAAAATTCCCAAAAAATAGAAAAAAATCCCAAAAAAATCCCCAAAAAATCGCAAAAAATCCCCAAAAAAATCCCCCAAAAAATCCCAAAAAATAGAAAAAAAATCGCCCAAAAAAATCCCAATAAATCCCCCCAAAAAATCCCAAAAAAAGGAAAAAAAGAAAGGAAAAGAAAAGGGAAAAAGTTTAGGCAAAAAAAATCCCCCCAAAAAATCCCAAAAAATTAAAAAAAAATCGCCCAAAATCCCAAAAAAATCGCCCAAAAAATTCCCAAAAATCCCAAAAAAGGGAAAAAAAGAAAGGAAAAGAAAAGGGAAAAAATTAGGCCAAAAAAAATCCCAAAAAAATTCCAAAAAATTAAAAAAAATCGCCCAAAAAATGCCCAAAAAATCCAAAAAGATCCCCAAAAAATCCCAAAAAATAATAAAAAAAAATCGCCCAAAAAAATCCCCGAAAATCCAAAAAAAATCCCCAAAAAATCCCCAAAATAGGGGAAAAATAAAGGAAAAGAAGAGTGAAAAATTCAGCCCCAAAAAAATCCCAAAAATCCCCAAAAAATTGCAAAAAAATTCCACCAAAAATCCCCCAAAAATCCCAAAAAAGGGAAAAAAAGGAAAATAAAAGTGAAAAACTCAGCCCAAAAAAATCCCCAAAAAATCCCCCCAAGAAAATCCCCAAAAAAAAACCAAAACCAAAATCCCCCTAAAAATCCCCCCCAAAAAATCCCCCCAAAAAATCCCCCAAAAAAATCCCAAAAAATCCCCCCAAAATCTCCCTAAAAATCCCAAAAAAATCCCCCAAAAATCCCCCCAAAATCCCCAAAAAATCCCCCCAAAATCTCCCTAAAAATCCCAAAAAATCTCCAAAAAAATCCCCAAAAATCTCCAAAAAAATCCTCCAGAAATCCCGAAAAAACCCCGAAAAAATCCCCAAAAAGGGAAAAAAAAAAAAAAGTGAAAAACCCAGCCCAAAAAATCCCCCCAAAAAATCCCCCCAAAAAATCCCAAAAATCCCCCCCAAAAAAATCCCACCCCCAAAAAAAATCCCCCCAAAATCCCCCAAAAAATCCCCCCAAAAATCCCAAAAAAATCCAAAAGAATCCCCAAAAATCCCTAAAAAATCCCCAAAAAATCTCCCCAAACCCCCCCAAAATTCCCTAAAAATTCCCTAAAAATCCCCCAAAAAATTCCATCAAAATCTCCCCCAACCCCCCCAAAATTCCCTCAAAATCCCCCCAAAATTCCCTCAAAACCCCCCCAAAATCCCCAAATTTCCCCAAAAATTCCCTCAAAATCCCCCAAAATTCCTTCAAAAACCCCCAAAATTCCCTCAAACCCCCCCAAACCACCCCCAAACCCCCCCATAAATCCCCAAATTTCCCAAAAATTCCCTAAAAATTCCCTAAAAATCCCATGAAAATCTCCCCCAAACCCTCCAAAATTCCCTCAAAATCCCCCCCAAAATTCCCTCAAAATCCCCCAAAATCCCATCAAAATCTCCCAAAATTCCCTCAAAACCCCCCCAAAAATTCCCCAAAATTCCCTAAAAATTCCCTCAAAATCCCATCAAAATCTCCCCTAAACCCCCGCAAAATTCCCTAAAAACCCCAATTCCCCAAAAATTCCCCAAAAATTCCCTCAAAACCCCCCCAAATTTCCCAAATTTCCCCAAAATCCCCGGAATTGGCCCCAAACCTCTGGATCTGCTCCTGGATCCTTCGCAGCAGCAGCGACTCCGAGCCCGGGGGAGGGGAGGGGGGGGTCCCGGGGCTGGGGGGGGGCTCCAGGAATTCCCGAAATTCCCGAAATTCCCGAAATTCCGGAGGAAATTCCCGTGGAAAGTTCTGGAATGGGGGGGGGGCTCCGGCCCAGCAGCGCCCGAAGCCTCCGGGCCCTCATGTCCAGGACGGTGTCGCTGTAGCCAACCTCGTCCAGGTACCTGATTTGGGGGAAAAATACGGAAAAATGGGAATTTTAGGGGTGGAAAATGATGGGAAAAGGTCCTTGAGGGGAAAATGGGAGAAATTCCAACAAAAATGGGAAAAATTCCCGAAAAATTCCGGTGAAAATGTGAAAAATTCCCCCAAAATTCTGGTGAAAATACCACAAAAATCCCACAAAAATCCTGAGAAAATTCCCACAAAAATTCCGGTGAAAATACCACAAAAATCCCAGAAAAATCCCACAAAATCCTGAGAAAATTCCCACAAAAATTCCAGAAAAATCTCCACAAAAATACTGGAAAAAATCCCAGCAAAAATCTCCGCAAAAATCCTGAGAAAATCCAGGAAAAATCCTTGAAAAAGTCCCCACAAAAATCCTGAGAAAATCCCAGGAAAAATCCCCACAAAAATCTTGGGAAAATCCCAGAAAAAATTCTGGAAAAATTCCCACAAAAATACTGGAAAAAATCTCCACAGAAATCCTGAAAAAATCCCCTCAAAAATCCTGAAAAATCCCCTCAAAATCCTTGAAAAAGTCCCCACGAAAATCCTGAGAAAATTCTGGAAAAATTCCCCACAAAAATCGAGGAAAAATCCCCACAAAAATTTGGGAAAATCCCCACAAAAATTCTGGAAAAATCCCAGAAAAATCCCAACAAAAATCTCCACAAAAATCCCGAGAAAAATCCCACAAAAAACCTTGAAAAATCCCAGAAAAAATCCACACAAAAATCCTGAAAAAATCCCAGAAAAAATCCTGAGAAAATTCTGGAAAAATTCCCCACAAAAATCGAGGAAAAATCCCCACAGAAATTTTGGGAAAATCCCCACAAAAATTCTGGAAAAATCCCAGAAAAAAACCACACAAAAATCCTGGAAAAATCCCCACAGAAATTTGGGAAAAATCCCCACAAAAATCCTGGAAAAATCCCAGAAATTCCCGTGGAAAGTTCTGGAATTGGGCCCTCATGTCCAGGACGGTGTCGCTGTAGCCAACCTCGTCCAGGTACCTGATTTGGGGGAAAATCCAAGAAAAAATGGGAATTTTGGGGGTGGAAAATGATGGGAAAAGGCCCTTGAGGGGAAAATCCTAAAAGTTCCCACAAAAATGGGAAAAATTCCTGAAAAATTCGGTGAAAATCCCACAAAAATCCTGGAAAATTCTCACGAAAATTCCACAAAAATCTCCACAAAAACCTGGAAAAATTCCCTCAAAATCCTGTGAAAACTCCACAAAAATTCCAGAAAAATCTCCACAAAAATACTGGAAAAAATCCCAGAAAAATCCCAGCAAAAATCTCCGCAAAAATCCTGAGAAAAATCCCAGAAAAATCCTTGCAAAAATCCCCACGAAAATCCTGAGAAAAATCCCACAAAAATCCTTGCAAAAATCCCCACAAAAATCCAGCAAAAATTCCACAAAAATCCAGGAAAAATCCCAGAAAAAATCCACACAAAAGTCTTGGGGAAATCCCCACAAAAATTCGGGGAAAATCCTAGAAAAAATCCACAGAAAAATCCAGGAAAAATTCCCTCAAAAATCCTGAAAAAATCCCCACAAAAATCCTGAAAAAATCCCAGAAAAAATCCTGAGAAAATTCTGGAAAAATTCCCCACAAAAATCGAGGAAAAATCCCCACAGAAATTTTGGGAAAATCCCCACAAAAATTCTCAAAAAATCCCCACAAAAATCCTGGAAAAATCCCAGAAATTCCCGTGGAAAGTTCTGGAATTGGGCCCTCATGTCCAGGACGGTGTCGCTGTAGCCAACCTCGTCCAGGTACCTGATTTGGGGGAAAATCCAAGAAAAAATGGGAATTTTGGGGTGGGAAATGATGGGAGAAGGTCTTGAAGGGGAAAATGGGAAAAATTCCCACAAAAATGGGAAAAATTCCCGAAAAATTTGGTGAAAATCCCACAAAAATCCCACAAAATTCTGGTGAAAATCCCACAAAAATCCCACAAAAATCCCACAAAAATCTTGGGGAAATCCCCACAAAAAAACCTGCAAAAATTCCCACAAAAATTCTGGAAAAATCCCACAAAAATTCTGGAAAAATCCCACCAAAAAAGCCCCAAAATCCCATCCAAAATCCCACAAAAACGGCCCCAAATCCTTCAAAAATTCGGTAAAAATTGCACAAAAATCCAGGAAAAATCCCAGAAAAAATCCCCCAAAAATCCAGGAAAAATCCAGCAAAAATTCCACAAAAATCCTGAGAAAATCCTGGAAAAATCCCACAAAAATCCTGAGAAAATCCTGAAAAAATCACTCAAAAATCCTGGAAAAATTCCACAAGAATCCTGAGAAAATCCCAGAAAAATCCGTCAAAAATCCTGAGAAAATCCCGCAAAAATCCACACAAAAAATTTGGGAAAATCCCCTCAAAAATTCCCACAAAAATTCTGGAAAAATCCCACCAAAAAAGCCCCAAAATCCCATCCAAAATCCCACAAAAACGGCCCAAAATCCTCCAAAAATTTGGTAAAAATTCCACAAAAATCCCCCAAAATTGCTCCAAAAAATCTCAAAAATTGCCCCAAAAACCCCAAAACCCCAAAAAACCCAAAAATTCCCAAAAAATCCCCAAAAATTCCAAAAAAATTCCCAAATTCCCAATCCCAGCACTCACTGGCGCAGGAGCTGCCTCCCGTCCTTCCAGGCTCCCTCCAGCTCCACGGGGCCGTTGGACACTGCGGGAAATCAGGGGGGAGAAAGGCAAAATTTATCCCAAAAATAACCTAAAAATGACCTAAAAATAACCTAAAATAACAAAGAAATTATCCCAAAAATAACCCAAAAAATTATCCCGAAAATACCCAAAAATTATCGAAAAAATTACGCCAGAAATAACCCAAAAATAATCAAAAAATAACCCAAAATTACCCCAAAACCCACCCCAAAAATAACCCAAAACCAGCCCAAAAATACCCCAAAAATAACCAAAAATTACCCCAAAAATATCCCAAAATAACCTAAAAATAACCCAAAAATTAACCCAAAAATGACCAAAAAATAACCTAAAAATAACTTAAAAATTAACCCAAAAATAACCTAAAAATAACAAAGAAATTATCCCAAAAATAACTCAAAAATAACCTAAAAATTATCCCAAAAATAACCTAAAAATTACCCCCAAAATATCCCCAAATCAGCCCAAAATCAGCCCCAAAATACCCCAAAAATAACCTAAAAATAACCCAAAAATAACCTAAAAATAACTTAAAAATTAACCCAAAAATATCCCAAAAATAACCTAAAATTAACCCAAAAATAACAAAAAAATTATCCCAAAAATAACCTAAAAATTATCCCAAAAATTACCCAAAATTAACCCAAAAATAACCTAAAAATAACCCAAAAATAACCCAAAAATTATCCCAAATATAACCTAAAAATAACCTAAAAATTACCCCCAAAATATCCCCAAAAATACCCCAAAATAACCTAAAAATAACCTAAAAATAACCCAAAATTAACCCAAAAATAACTTAAAAATTAACCCAAAAATAACCCAAAAATAACCTAAAAATAACCAAAAAATTATCCCCAAAATAACCCAAAAATAACCCCAAAATTACCCAAAAATTATCCCAAAAACCACGCCAAAAATACCCCAAAATCAACCCAAAAATAACCCAAAAATAACCCCAAAAACCACCCCAAAAATAACCCAAAACCAGCCCAAAAATAACCCCAAAATACCCCAAAAATAACCTAAAAATTACCCCAAAAATATCATAAAAATAACCCAAAAATCAGCCCAAAAATAACCCAAAAATAACAAAAAATTACCCCAAAAATAACCTAAAATTAACCCAAAAATAACCAAAAAATTATCCCAAAAATAATCTAAAAATAACTTAAAAATTATCCCAAATATAACACAAAAATAACCCAAAAATAAACCAAAAATAACTTAAAAATTATCCCAAAAATAACCAAAAAATTACCCCAAAAATAACCTAAAAATAATCAAAAAATTATCCCAAAAATAACCTAAAAATAACCCAAAAATAACCTAAAAATAACTTAAAAATTAACCCAAAATTAACCCAAAAATAACCTAAAAATAACAAAGAAATTATCCCAAATATAAGCCAAAAATTATCCCAAAAATTACCCAAAAATAACCCCAAAATACCCCAAAACCACCCCAAAAAGAACCAAAAATTACCCCAAAAAAACCCCAAAAATTACCCAAAAAATAACCCAAAAATATCCCAAAAATACCCCAAAAAACCCCAAAAATTACCCCCAAATAACCCCAAAAAACCCCAAAAATAACCCCAAAAATCCCAAAAAAATTCCTAAAAACCCCAAACCTTCCCCCAAACCCCAAAAACCCCAAATTCCCAAAAAAAAAAAAACCCAAAAAAATCCCAAAAATTCCCAAATTTGGGCCCACCCGGCTCCTCCGGCCGCTTCTCCCCCGGCGCCGCCTCCGTCCCAAATTTCAGTTTCTGGAACTTGGACCTGCAAAATTTGGGGAATTTTTGGGCTTTTTTGGGGTTTTTTGGGGTTTGGGGAAGAATTTGGGGTTTTTTGGGGGGATTTTTGTGAGTTTTTTGGGTGATTTTGGGGCTTTTTGGGATGATTTTTAGGGGTTTTTTGGGTGATTTTAGGGGTTTTTTGGGTGATTTTTGGGGGTTTTTTGGGTGATTTTTGGGGTTTTTTGGGTGATTTTTGGGGTTTTGGGGATTTGGGGTCTTGGGGTTTTTAGGGGTGATTTTTGAGGGGTTTGGGGTGGAGTTTTGAAGGTTTTGGGGTGAATTTTGCAATTTTTTGGAATTATTTTTCCTTTTTTTGGGATGATTTTCAGGGTTTTTTTGGGTGATTTTTGGGGTTTTTTGGGATTTGGGGTCTTGGGGTTTTTTGGGGGGATTTTTGAGGGGTTTGGGGAAGGATTTTTTAAGGTTTTGGGGTGAATTTTGGGGTTTTTTTGAATTATTTTTGCTTTTTTTTGGGACCATTTTCAGGGTTTTTTTGGGTGATTTTTGGGGATTTTTGGGATTTGGGGTCTTGGGGTTTTTAGGGTTTTTTTGGGGTGATTTTTGAGGGGTTTGGGGAAGGATTTTAGGCGTTTTTGGGGTGAATTTTGCAATTTTTTGGAATTATTTTTCTTTTTTTTTGAGGGATTTTTGGGGTGATTTTTAGGGTTTTTTTGGGTGATTTTTGGGGTTTTTTGGAATTTGGGGTTTTGGGGTTTTTAGGGTTTTTTTGGGGTGATTTTTGAGGGGTTTGGGGTGGAGTTTTGAAGGTTTTGGGGCTTTAGAGCTCATTTTTAGGATTTCTGGGTGGTTTTAAGATTTTTGGGTTCTTTTTAGGATTTCTGGGTGATTTTCAGGGTTCCTTTGAGGATTTCTGGGGTTTTTAGGATTTCTGGGTGATTTTTAGGGTTGATTTTCAGGATTCCTGGGTATTTTTTAGCATTTCTGGGCATTTTTAGGATTTCTGGGTATTTTTTACGATTTCTGGGTGATTTTTTAGGATTTCCTGGGTATTTTTTTTACGATTTTTAGGTATTTTTTACAATTTCTGGGTATTTTTTTGTATTCCTGGCTATTTTTTAGGATTCCTGGGTATTTTTTAGGATTCCTGAGTGGTTTTTAAGAGTTCATTTTTAGGATTCCTGGGTATTTTTTAGGATTTCTGGGTGGTTTTTTAGATGTGGTTTTTAGGATTTCTGGGTGATTTTTTAGGATTTCCTGGGTATTTTTTTTTACGATTTTTAGGTATTTTTTACAATTTCTGGGGGTTTTTTTTTGGGATTTCTGGGTATTTTTTAGGACTCCTGGCTATTTTTTAGGATTCCTGGCTATTTTTAACAATTCCTGGCTATTTTTTAGAATTTTTGTGTATTTTTTTTAGGATTCCTGGCTGATATCCAGAACTTTTTCCTGGTTCCTGCCCCACCTCTCCTGCTTGAGGGCGAATTCCAGCATCCGGATCCTCCTCACCAGGTCCAGCTTGAGGCTCTCCTGGCCCTGGCGCTCGCCCTGCAGGAACGCCACCTGTGCCTTGGGGACATCAGAGGGGACATTGGGGACATTGGGGGGATTGGGGATACTCGGGGACATTGGGGGGATTGGGGACATTGGGGGGAATGGGGACATTGGGGACATTGGGGGATTGGGGACATTGGGGACACTCAGGGCCCTTGAGGCTCTCCTGGCCCTGGCGCTCGCCCTGCAGGAACGCCACCTGTGCCTGGGGACATCAGAGGGGACATTGGGGACACTTGGGACACTCAGGGGCATTGGGGGGATTGGGGGCATTGAGGACATTGGGGACATTGGGGACACTCAGGGCCCTTGAGGCTCTCCTGGCCCTGGCGCTCGCCCTGCAGGAACGCCACCTGTGCCTTGGGGACAGTGGGGACATCAGAGGGGACATTGGGGACATTGGGGACATTGGGGGGATTGGGGACATTGGGGGGATTGGGGACATTGGGGACATTGGGGGGATTGGGGGTATTGGGGACATTGGGGACCCTCAGGGACATTGGGGACATTGGGGGGATTGGGGGAATGGGGACATTGGGGGGATTGGGGACATTGGGGACATTGGGGACACTCAGGGACATTGGGGACATCGGGGACATTGGGGACACTTGGGACACTCAGGGACATTGGGGACATTGAGGCAATTGGGGACATTGGGGACACTCAGGGACATTGGGGGCATTGGGGACACTCAGGGACATTGGGGACATTGGGGACACTCAGGAACATTGGGGGGATTGGGGGGAATGGGGACATTGGGGACACTTGGGACACTCAGGGACATTGGGGACACTCAGGGACATTGGGGACATTGGGGGGATTGGGGACATTGGGGACATTGGGGGGAATGGGGACATTGGGGGGAATGGGGACATTGGGGACACTGGGGACATTGGGGACACTCAGGAACATCGGGGGGATTGGGGGGAATGGGGACATTGGGGGGATTGGGGACAATGGGGGACATTGGGGACACTTGGGACACTCAGGGACATTGGGGGATTGGGAACATTGGGGGGTGATGGAGACATTAGGGGGAATGGGGACACTCAGGGACATTGGGGACATTGGGGACATTGGGGATATCGGGGACATTGGGGACAATGGGGGGATTGGGGGTATTGGGGACACTGGGGACATTGGGGACATTGGAGACATTGGGGACACTCAGGAACATTGGGGGGATTGGGGGGAATGGGGACATTGGGGACATTGGGGGGAATGGGGGGATTGGGGACACTGGGGACAGTGGGGACATCAGAGGGGACATTGGGGGGATTGGGGACACCCAGGGGATATTGGGGACATTGGGGACATTGGGGACATTGGGGACACTCAGGGCCCTTGAGGCTCTCCTGGCCCTGGCGCTCGCCCTGCAGGAACGCCACCTGTGCCTTGGGGACATTGGGGACATCAGAGGGGACACTGGGGACATTGGGGACATTGGGGACATTGGGGACACTCAGGGACATTGGGGGGATTGGGGGGATTGGGGACATTGGGGACATTGGGGACACTCAGGAACATTGGGGGGATTGGGGGGAATGGGGACATTGGGGACACTGGGGACAGTGGGGACATCAGAGGGGACATTGGGGGGATTGGGGACACCCAGGGGATATTGGGGACATTGGGGGGATTGGGGACACTCAGGGCCCTTGAGGCTCTCCTGACCCTGGCGCTCGCCCTGCAGGAACGCCACCTGTGCCTTGGGGACATTACAGGGGACATTGGGGACATTGGGGACATTGGGGACATTGGGGGGATTGGGGACATTGGGGACACTCAGGGACATTGGGGACATTGGGGGGATTGGGGGCATTGGGGGGATTGGGGACACTCAGGGACATTGGGGGACATTGGGGACATTGGGGGGATTGGGGACACTCAGGGACATTGGGGACATTGGGGGGATTGGGGACATTGGGGACACTCAGGACCCTGAGGCTCTCCTGGCCCTGGCGCTCGCCCTGCAGGAACAGCACCTGTGCCTTGGGGACATTACAGGGGACATCAGAGGGGACATTGGGGACATTGGGGACACTCAGGGACATTGGGGACATTGGGGACATTGGGGACACTGGGGACACTTGGGACACTCAGGGACATTGGGGGGATTGGGGGGCATTGGGGACACTCAGGGCCCTTGAGGCTCTCCTGGCCCTGGCGCTCGCCCTGCAGGAACAGCACCTGTGCCTTGGGGACATCAGAGGGGACATTGGGGACACTCAGGGACATTGGGGACATTGGGGGCATTGGGGACATTGGGGACACTTGGGACACTCAGGGACATTGGGGACATTGGGGGGAATGGGGGGATTGGGGACACTCAGGGACATTGGGGGCATTGGGGACATTGGGGGGATTGGGGACATTGGGGGTATTTGGGACATTGGAGACACTGGGGACACTCAGGGACATTGGGGACACTCAGGGACATTGGGGACACTCAGGGATATTGGGGACATCAGGGATATGTGGGACATTGGGGACCCATGGTGTGACAGGGAGGTCACCCAGTGCCATCCCAGTATCTCTGATGTCACCCCAGTATCCCCAGTACCCTCCCAGTCCATCCCAGTATCCCCAGTACCATCCCAATCCATCCCAGTGCCCATCCCAGTGTCCCCAGTACCCATCGCTGTACCTGTCCCAGTATCCCCAGTGCCATCCCAGTATCCCCAGTATCCCCAGTGCCCATCCCAGTCCCTCCCAGTGTCCCCAGTACCCATCGCTGTGCCCGTCCCAGTATCCCCAGTACCATTCCAGTATCCCCAGTATCCCCAGTGCCCATCCCAGTACCCTCCCAGTCCATCCCAGTACCCTCCCAGTCCATCCCAGTGCCCCTCCCAGTATCCCCGGTGCCGTGTCCCGGTGCCTCCCCCGCCCCTTCCCGGTGTCCCCACCCCCTCCCCGCCGTCCCGGCCGCCATTTCCTCCCAAGATGGCGCCAGCAGCGGCCACCCCACCCCGGTGACCCCCGCTGTCCCCTCCGTGTCCCCCTCGCTGTCCCCTCACCGTCCCTCCCCTCATGAGGGCAGCGCCGCCGCCATTACCTGCAGCTCGGCCCTCTCCGCTTCCCAGCGCCCTTTCTCCGCCTCGAACCGCGCCCACTCGTGCTGGATGAAGTGCAGGATGCCCGGCAGGCTGAGGCCGGTTCGTGCCGCGGGTTCGGGGCCCGGAACGGGGCCCGGAGCGGGGCCGGGAACGGGGCCGGGGGGCGGAGGTTGGGCCCTGACCGGCGGAGCCCGCTCGGCCGCCATGGCGGCTGCCACAAAGGGAGCCACGGGCGGCAGCGGCTTCCTGCCACAAAGGGAGCCGGATATGGGGCGTGGTCATGCGGAAGGGGCGGGGCCAAGGGAGGCGTTGTTGCCGTGGAAACGGGGGGGCTGTGAGGGAATTTTGGGTTTTTTGGGGGGAAATTTTGGCGGTTTTGGGTTTTTTTGTGGGGTTAGAGGGGATTTTGGGGTTTTTTTAGGGATTTTAGGGTTTAGGTTTCGGACCGCTGGAGCCCGCTCGGCCGCCATGGCGGCTGCCACAAAGGGAGCCACAGGCGGCAGCCGCTTCCTGCCACAAAGAGAGCCGGAAGTGGGGCGGGAAAGGGGCGTGGTCATGCGGAAGGGGCGGGGCCAATGGGAGGCGTTGTTGCCGTGGAAACGGGGGGGGGGCTGTGAGGGAATTTGGGGTTTTTTTGGGGAATCTTTGGGGGTTTTGAGTTTTTTATGGGGTTAGAGGGATTTTTTTGATGGTTTTAGGGTTTTCCCAGGGATCTTTGGGAGGTTAGAGGGGATTTTGGGGGTTTTTAGGGTTTTTTGGGGTGGTCTTTGGGGGGTTACAGGGGATTTTGGGGGGTTTTAGGGTTTTTTGGGGTGGTCTTTGGGGGGTTACAGGGGATTTTGGGGGTTTTACAGGGAATCTTGGAGGGATTTGAGGCATTGTAGAGCATTTTTCATATTTAGGGGAGGCTTTTAGGCTTTTTGGCAGGTTTGAGCTTTTTTTGGGGATCTTCGAACCGCTCGAGTGAATTTTGGGGCGTTTAGGACATTTAGGGGCGGCCATTGGGGGGGGGTTATGTGGGATTTCAGTGCCCTTTGGCATATTTGAGAGGATTTTGGGCGGCTTTTAGGATTTTTCTGGGGGTTTTTAGGAGCTCCCAGGCGATTTTTGGAAGCTTTGGGGGCGGCGTTTAACCACGGGGAATTCATTAAGAAATTAATTAAACGCCCCTCATTAACATTTCCATCTCCACAGCGCCACCGCGTGGTCACCTCGGGTATTGCCACCACCACCACCACAGAACCGAGCGCAGCGACGCCGTCCAATTAACTCACGAATTAACGAACGAGCCGCCTAATTAACTAATTAACCGCTTGATTCATGCCTTAATTAACCCCCCACCATGAGAATCACCCCCTGCCAAGCCGCCCTGGCCGCCGCCATCACCCTCAACCTCCTCCTCCTCCTCTGCTCCCGCCTGCTCCCCCCCGCGTCCCCTCAGTGCCGCCACCCCCGGCGCGCCGCCGTCCCCGAGGCCGTGCCCGGTGTCACCGTCATCCTCCGCGACTTCGACGGCCCCGACCACGACGTGGCCGCCACCGCCCGCTCCTTCTCCTCGCTGCCCGGCGTGGCCGTGCTGGTGGCGGCCGAGGTGTCCCCGTACCCTCCGGTGTCGCTGCCGGCCGGCGTCACCGTGCTGTCCCTTCGGCCGGAGCCTCACCGGCCGCCGCCGCGACCGGAGCTGGCCGTGCGCACCCGCCACGTGGCTTTGGTGCCGGACGGCGCCCGCGCCGCTCCCGGTTTGCTGAGGCGCATGAGGGACGTTCTGGAAGCTTCCACGGACGGCGCCGTCAAAGCGGTGGCGGCGGCCGTGGGGCGGCGGCGGCCGCGTTGTTTGAGCTTGGAGGTGGACGTCAAAGCGTGGACGGTTCGCTACGGCCACGCCGACCACCAAAGTGTCCACCATGATGATGATGATGATGGTGGTGACCACCATGATGGTGATGACCACCAAGGTGACCTTTGCGGCGCCCTCGATGGCGCCCCGGCCGTTCTTCTCCTCCGCGCCCGCGACCTCTTTGCCCTTCCCTTCCCTCTCGCCCGCCCCGTCCTCACCTCGCTGTCCCTCCAAGCCGCCGCCCGCGGTTGGCGCCTCCTCCTCCTCCCCGCCTCCTCCTCCTTCCCTTCATCCCCTCGTCCCCTCCTGTCCCCTCACGCCCTCTGGAGATCCCAAAGCTCCTCGGACGCCCAACGCCGGGCGCTGCTGGAGAGGTTTGGGGTCAAGCTGGAGGTGCTGCCCGACGGCTCCCGGCGCTGGCACGGCTGCGCCAAGGACACCCCGCGCTGTTTCGGCACCGTGCGCCGCCAAACCCCCGAGTATCTCCTGGCCGGGCGCTGGACGCCCCCGTGTTGCCTCCGGGCCCTGCGCGCCACCGCCCGCCACGTCCTGCAGCAGCTGGAAACATCTGGAATCCGCCATTGGTTGGAAGGGGGGACCCTCTTGGGCGCCGTGCGCCTCGGGGACATCATCCCCTGGGACTACGACGTGGACGTCGGGTTGTACCTCGAGGACGTCCCCAAATGTCCTTGGTTGGCCCAAGTGGTGGCATCTGGAGGACCGGTGGAGGATCCTCAAGGTTTCCTTTGGGAGAAAGCGGCCGAGGGGGAATTTTTCCGCGTGCATTTCAGCCGCGCCAATCGGCTCCACGTGGACCTTTGGCCGTTCTACGTCCGGCCCGGCACGGCCTTGATGACCAAGGACACTTGGTTGGGTCACAGGCAGGACGTGGAGTTCCCCGAGAGCCTCGTGGTGCCCCTGGGCACGGTGCCCTTTGCAGGCCTGGTGGCCAAAGCTCCCAACGATCCCCGGGCATTCCTGGAGCTCAAATTCGGGCCCGGGGCCATCGAGAACCCCGAGTACCCCAACCCCGGCCTCAGGAGGTTGGAGCAGGATGTGGCCAATAAAACCCGGCGGTGACAGTGGGGACAGACTTGGTGTCACCTTTGGGGTCCTTGTGTCACCATTGGGGTCCCTGTGCCACCCTTGGGGTCCCTGTGCTGCTTTATCTGGTCCTGGTGCCACTCTCAGGGTCCTTGTGCCATCCTTGGTGTCCTCCTGTCACCCTTGGGGTCCCTGTGGCACCCTTGGGCTCCCTGTGCCATCCTGGGTGTCCCCAGTGTCACCTTTGGGGTTCCTGTGTCACCTTTGGGGCCATCGAGAACCCCGAGTACCCCAACCCCGGCCTCAGGAGGTTGGAGCAGGATGTGGCCAATAAAACCCGGCGGTGACAGCTGGGATTGTCACCTGTGCCATCCTTGGTGTCCTCCTGTCACCCTTGGGGTCCCTGTGCCACCCTTGGGGTCCCTGTGCCACCTTTGGGGTCCTTGTGCCACCTTTGGGGTCCCTTTGCCATCTTGGGTGTGTCCAGTGTCACCTTTGGGGTCCCTGTGCCACCTTTGGGGTCCTTGTGTCAGCCTGGGCTCCCTGTGCTGCTTTACCTGGCCCTGGTGCCACCCTCAGGGTCCCTGTGTCACCTTTGGGGTCTTTGTCCCCCTTTACCTGGCCCTGGTGCCACCATTGAGGTCCCTGTTCCATCCTTGGTGTCCTCCTGTCACCCTTGGGCTCCCTGTGCCACCCTCGGTGTCCCCTGTGCCACCCTTGGGGTCTTTCTCCCACTTTATCTGGTCCTGGTGTCACCTTTGGGGTCCCTGTGCCACCATTGGGGTCCTTGTCCCCCTTTACCTGGTCCTGGTGCCACCATTGGGGTCCCTATGGCACCTTTGGGCTCCCTGTGCCACCCTTGAGGTCCCTGTGCCAATCCTGGGGTTTCTGTCCCACCCTTGGTGTCCCTGTCCCCCCCTTGGGCTCTCTGTGCCACCATTGGGTTCTTTGTCCCACTTTATCTGGTCCTAGGGTCACATTTCGGGTCCCTGTTCCACCCTTGGTGTCCCTGTTCCACCCTTGGTGTCCCTGTGCCACCCTTGGGCTCCCTGTGCCACCTTTGGGCTCCCTGTGGCACCTTTGAGGTCCTTGTCCCACCCTTGGGCTCCCAGTCCCACCCTCGGTGTCCCAGTGCCACCCTTGAGGTCCCAGTCCTCCCCTTTTGGTCCCTGTCCCCCCTTTTGGTCCCAGTCCCCCCCTTTTGGTCCCTGTCCCCCCTTTTGGTCCCTGTCCCCCCCTTTTGGTCCCTGTCCCCCCTTTTGGTCCCTGCAGGTCCCTCCAGGCCAGGCCAGGCCGTGCAGGTCCCCAAGAGCCTCGTGGTGCCCCTGGTGCCACCCTCAGGGTCCCTGTGCCACCCTTGGGGTCCTTGTCCCAATTTACTTGGTCCTGGTGACACCTTTGGGGTCCCTGTGCCATTCTGGGTGTCCCCAGTGTCACTTTTGGGGTCCCTGTTCCATCCTGGGTGTCCCCAGTATCCCCAGTGCCACCTTTGGGCTTCCTTTGCCACCTTTGGGCTCCCTGTGCCACCCTCGGTGTCCCAGTGCCACCCTTGGGGTCTTTGTCCCACTTTACCTGGCCCTGGTGCCACCCTTGGGCTCCCTGTGCCACCTTTGGGGTCCCTGTGTCACCCTTGGGGTCCCTGTGCCACCTTTGGGGTCCCTGTGTCACCCTTGGGGTCCTTCTCTCACCCTTGGGCTCCCTGTGCTATCCTGGGTGTCCCCAGTGTCACCTTTGGGCTCCCTGTCCCACCCTGGGCTCCCTGTGCCACCCTTGGGGTCTTTGTCCCACTTTATCTGGTCCTGGTGTCACATTTGGTGTCCCTGTGCCACCCTTGGGCTCCCTGTGCCACCCTTGGGGTTCCTTGTGGCACCTTTGGGGTCTTTGCCCCACTTTACCAGGCCCTGGTGCCAGCATTGAGGTCCCTGTGTCACCTTTGGGCTCCCTGTGCCACCCTTGGGGTCCTTGTCCCCCTTTACCTGGCCCTGGTGCCACCCTTGAGGTCCCTGTGCCACCTTTTGGGTCCCTGAGCCACTCTGGGTGTCCCCAGTGCCAGTTTTGGTGTCCCTGTCCCACCCTTGGGCTCCCTGTGCCACTTTTGGGGTCCCTGTGCCACCCTGGGTGTCCCCAGTGTCACCTTTGGGCTCCCTGTGCCACCCCTGGGGTTCTTCTGTCACCCCTGGGCTCATCTTGGGTGTCCCCATTGCCACCTTTGGTGTCCCCAGTGTCACTTTTAGGGTCCCTGGTGCCATCCTGGGTGTCCCCAGTGTCACCTTTGGTGTCCCCAGTGTCACTTTTAGGGTCCCTGGTGCCATCCTGGGTGTCCCCATTGCCACCTTTGGTGTCCCTGATGCCACTTTTGGGGTCCCTGTGCCATCCTGGGTGTCCCCAGTGTCACCTTTGGTGTCCCCAGTGTCACCTTTGATGTCCCTGATGCCACTTTTGGGGTCCCCAGTGTCACTTTTGGTGTCCCTGATGTCACTTTTCGGGTCCCTGGTGCCACCCTGGGTGTCCCTGATGTCACCTTTGGTGTCCCCAGTGTCCCTTTCCCCTGGTTTTGGTCCCCGTTCATTCATTTGATGCCATTTTCAGTAGTTTCAAATTCACTTTACCCCATTTTTGATCAATTTTATCCCATTTTGGTCATTTTAAATTCACTTTTTCCCATTTTTTGGTCATTTTTACCCCATTTTATTCCCATTTTTGCTCATTTTTAACCCATTTTTATCCCATTTTTGACCATTTCCAATCCATTTATTCCCATTTTTGCTAATTTTTAACCCATTTTATTCCCATCTTTAATAAATTTTATCCCATTTATTCCCATTTTTAACCCATTTTATTCCCATTTTTGCTCATTTTTAACCAATTTATTCCCATTTTTGATCATTTCCAATCCATTTATTCCCATTTCTGCTCCTTTTTAACCCATTTTATTCCCATTTTTGTTCATTTTTAACCCAATTTATTCCCATTTTTATCCCATTTTATTCCCATTTTTGCTCATTTTTAACCCAATTTATTCCCATTTTTATCCCATTTTATTCCCATTTTTAACCCATTTTATTCCCATTTTTATCCCATTTTTGCTCATTTTTAACCCATTTTATTCCCATTTTTTCCCCATTTTTTTCCATTTCCAATCCACATTCCCCCATTTTTCCTCCTTTTTAACCCATTTATTCCCATTTTTGCTCATTTTTAACCCATTTTTCCCCATTTTTTCCATTTCCAATCCACATTTTCCCCATTTTTCCTCCTTTTTAACCCATTTATTCCCATTTCTGCTCCTTTTAACCCAGATTTCCCCCATTTTTTTCCATTTCCAATCCACTTTTCCCCATTTTTCCTCCTTTTTAACCCATTTATTCCCATTTTTTTCCATTTTTACCCCATTTTATTCCCAATTTTTCCCCATTTTTGACCATTTCCAATGCACTTTTCCCCATTTTTCCTCCTTTTTAGCCCATTTTATTCCCATTTTTGGTCCCTTTCATGCACAGGAATTCACATTTTTTACACAGCACGAGAACACTGACACTGGGGGGAGGAATTTTGGGGCAAATTTGGGGCGAATTTGGGGGATTTTGGGTCATTCCAGGGATTGCAGCATCAGGAGCTGCTTCAGCACCTTGGTCTGGCTCGTCTCCCGAATTTCCCCTGCCAGGAACATCTCATCCACCACCGTGTACACCTGGAAATGGGGAGAAAAAGGGAAAATTAGGGAAAAACAGCAAAAAACAGCAAAAATCTGCAAAAAAAAACGGGAAAAATTGACCCAAAAATGGCTGAAATTGACCCAAAAATGACCTAAAAGTGACCCAAAATAACCCAAAATCAGCCCAATCTCATCCACCACCGTGTACACCTGGAAATGGGGAGAAAAAGGGAAAATTAGGGAAAAACAGCAAAAACCAGCAAAAATCTGCAAAAAAAACGGGAAAAAATGACCCAAAAATGGCTAAAATTGACCTAAAAATGGCTAAAATTGACCTAAAAATGGCTGAAAATGACCCAAAATAGCCCCAAATCAGCCCAATCTCATCCACCCCTGTGTGCACCTGAAAATGGGGAGAAAAAGGGAAAATTAGGGAAAAACAGCAAAAAACTGCAAAAAAAACGGGAAAAAATGACCCAAAAAAGGCTAAAATTGACCCAAAAATGACCCCAAAATGGCTAAAATTGACCTAAAAATGAGCTAAAAATGACCCAAAATAGCCCAAAATCAGCCCAATCTCATCCACCATGGTGTAGACCTGGAAATGGGGAGAAAAAGGGAAAATTAGGGAAAAACAGAAAAAAAATGGGAAAAAATGACCCAAAAATGGCTGAAATAGACCCAAAAATGGCTAAAATTGACCCAAAAATGGCTGAAATAGACCTAAAAATGGCTAAAATTGACCCAAAATAGCCCAAAATCAGCCCAATCTCATCCACCACGGTGTACACCTGGAAATGGGGAGAAAAAGGGAAAATTAGGGAAAATTAGGGAAAAACAGCAAAAATCTGCAAAAAAAACGGGAAAAAATGACCCAAAAATGGCTAAAATTGACCCAAAAATGACCTAAAAATGGCTAAAATTGACCTTAAAATGACCTAAAAATGGGTAAAAATGACCCCAAATCAGCCCAATCTCATCCACCCCCGTGTAGACCTGGAAATGGGGAGAAAAAGGGAAAATTAGGGAAAAACAGTAAAAACCAGCAAAAATCTGCAAAAAAAACGGGAAAAAATGACCCAAAAATGGCTAAAATTGACCCAAAAATGGCTAAAAATGACCCAAAATCAGCCCAATCTCATCCACCACGGTGTGCACCGGGAAATGGGGAGAAAAAGGGAAAATTAGGGAAAAACAGTAAAAAAATGGGAAAAAATGACCCAAAAATGGCTAAAAATGACCCAAAAATGGCCCAAAATCGGCTGAAATAGACCCAAAAATGGCTGAAAATGGCCCAAAATAACCCAAAATCAGCCCAATCTCATCCACCATGGTGTAGACCTGAAAATGGGGAGAAAAAGGGAAAATTAGGGAAAACCAGCAAAAATTGGTAAAAATCAGAAAAAAACAGGAAAAATTGACACAAAAATGACCCAAAAACGGCTGAAAATGACCCAAAAATGACCCAAAAATGGCCTAAAATTGACCCAAAACCCAGCCTGGAGCATCTCATCCACCCCTGTGTGCACCTGAAAATGGGGAGAAAAAGGGAAAATTAGGGAAAAATGGCAAAAATCAGCAAAAATTGGCGAAAATCGGCAAAAAAAAAACGGGGAAAAATGACCCAAAAATGGCTGAAAATGACCCAAAAATGACCCAAAAATTAATACATTAATAAATAAATGAATTAACCCCTCCAATTAATTAATTAACCCCCCTCCAATTAATTAATTAACCCCTTCCCAAATTAATGAAACCCCTCCCAAATTAATTAACCCCCAATTTATAAATAAATTATAAATTCATAAACTAATTAACTCCTCCCCAAATTAACCCCAATTAACAAAATATACATCAATAAATAAATTAATTAACCCCTCCCCAAATTAATTAACCCTCCCCAATTAATTACCCCCAATTAATTAATTAAACCCCTCCCCAATTAATTAATTAACCCCCAAATTAATTAACCCCCCAAATTAATTAACCCCTCCTCAAATTAATTAAACCCCTCCTAAATTACTTAACCTATTCCAAATCAATTAGACCCCTCCCCAAATTATTTAACTCCTCCCAAATTAATTAACCCCAATTATTTAATAAATTATAAATTAATAAATTAATTAATCCCTCCTCAAATTAATTAACCCCCCTCCAATTAATTAACCCATTCCCAAATTAATTAACCCCAAATTACTTAATTATAAATTAATAAATAATTAACCCCTCCCCAAATTAATTAACCCCCAATTAGTTAACAAAATATACATAAATAAATTAAATAACCCCTTCCCAAATTAATTAAACCCCTCCCCAAATTAATTAACCCCCTCCAATTAATTAATTAACCCCTCCTCAAATTAATCAAACCCCTCCCAATTTAATCAACCCCTCCCAAATTAATTAACCCTCCCCAAATTAATTAACCCCCATATTAATTAACCCCTCCTCAAATTAATTAACCCCAACCCAAATTAATGAAGCCCATCCCAAATTAATGAACCCCTCCCCAAATAAATTAATAAATTATAAATCAATCAATCAATTAATTAACCCCTCCCAAATTAATTTAACCCCTCCCCAATTAATTACCCCCCTCCAAATTAATTAATTAACCCCTCCTCCAATTAATTAACCCCCCCAAATTAATTAATTCGATTAATTAACCCCCCCAAATTAATTAACCCCCCACAAAATGAACCAAGAGACCCCAAAACCCCACCCCAAATTAATGAAACCCCTCCCCAATTAATTAACCCCCAATTAGTTAACAAAATATACATAAATAAATTAATGAACCCCTTCCCAAATTAATTAACCCCTCCCCAAATTAATTAACCCTCCCCAATTAATTAATTAACCCCTCCTCAAATTAATTAACACCCCAAATTAATGAAGCCCATCCCAAATTAATGAAACCCCTCCCAAATAAATTAATAAATTACAAATAAATAAATTAATTAACCCCTCCCCAAATTAATTTAACCCCATCCCCAATTAATTACCCCCCTCCAAATTAATTAATTAACCCCTCCTCCAATTAATTAACCCCCCCAAATTAATTAATTCGATTAATTAACCCCCCAAATTAATTAACCCCCCCCAAAAATGAACCAAGAGGCCCCAAAACCCCACCCCAAATTAATGAAACCCCTCCCCAATTAATTAACCCCCCTCCAATTAATTAATTACCCCTCCCCAAATTTATTAACCCCCAAATTAATTTACCCAAATTAATTAATAAATTATAAATTAACAAATAAATTAATTAACCCCTCCCCAAATTAATTAACACCCCAAATTAATTAACACCTCCTCAAATTAATTAACCCCTCCAAAATTAATTAACCCCCCTCAAATTAATTAATTAACCCCTCCTCAAATTAATTAACCCCTCCCCAAATTAACCCCTCTCAAATTATTTAACCCCCCATATTAATTAACCCCCCTCCAATTAATTAACCCCACCAATTAATTTAACCCATTCCCAAATTAATTAAACCCCTTCCCTAATTAATTAACCCCTGCCAAATTAATTAATCCCCCCAATTAATTAACCCTATCCCAAATTAATTAACCCCCCAAATTAATGAAACCCCTCCCCAAATTAATAAACCCCCTCCAATTAATTAATTAACCCCTCCCCAAGTTAACTCCCTCCCAAATTAATTATCCCCTCCCAAATTAATTAACCCCAATTAATTAATAAATTAGAAATTTATAAATAAATTAATGAACCCCTCCCAAATTAATTAAACCCCTTCCCAAATTAATTAACTCCCCTCCAATTAATGAACCCCTCCTCAAATTAATTAACACCCCAAATTAATGAAGCCCATCCCAAATTAATGAAACCCCTCCCAAATAAATTAATAAATTATAAATCAATCAATCAATTAATTTAACCCCTCCCCAAATTAATTTAACCCCTCCCCAATTAATTACCCCCCTCCAATGCATTAATTACCCCCCTCCCCAATTAATTAACCCCCATTAATTAACCCCCACCATTCATTAACCCCTTCCCCACCTTGTAGAAGTTGAAGACGAGGTCGAGCTCGCAGACGTTGTGGAAATACTCATTGAGCACCTGGGGTCGTTCATTAAAAACCCCAATTAACACCTCCAGGAAGGGTTAATTAAGGCCTGGGGGGGTTCATTAAGGCCTGGGGGGGTTCATTAAGGGTGTAATTAATTAATGAATGAGGTAATTAACTCACCTCCACGAAGTTGTGGATGGCCTCCAGGTAGGCCAGGTTGTTGTCGGTGACGTCGACGCAGATGCAGAAATAGAGCCCGGCATAGCGGCGGTAAATGATCTTGAAATTGCGGAACTGGGGAAACTGGGAGTTACTGGGAGGGACTGGGAGGGACTGGGAGTTACTGGGAGGGACTGGGAGGGACTGGGAGAGGTGTGGGAGGGACTGGGAGGGACTGGGAGTAACTGGGAGGGAATGGGAGGGACTGGGAGGGCACTGGAGCCCGGCATAGCGGCGGTAAATGATCTTGAAATTGCGGAACTGGGACAAACTGGGAGTTACTGGGAGGGACTGGGAACCACTGGGAGGGACTGGGAACCACTGGGAGGGACTGGGAGAGGTGTGGAAGGGATTGGGATTGACTGGGATTGACTGGGATTGACTGGGATTGACTGGGAGCAACTGGGAGTGGCGGTAAATGATCTTGAAATTGCGGAACTGGGGGAACTGGGAGTTACTGGGAGGGACTGGGACAAACTGGGAGGGACTGGGAGAGGTGTGGGAGGGACTGGGACAAACTGGGAACCACTGGGAACCACTGGGAGGGGACTGGGATTGACTGGGAGGGACTGGGAGCAACTGGGATTGACTGGGAACCACTGGGAGTAACTGGGAGGGCACTGGAGCCCGGCATAGCGGCGGTAAATGATCTTGAAATTGCGGAACTGGGGAAACTGGGATTAACTGGGAGGGACTGGGAACCACTGGGAGGGACTGGGAGGGACTGGGAGGGACTGGGAGTAACTGGGAGGGGACTGGGAGGGACTGGGATTGACTGGGAGTAACTGGGAGGGGACTGGGAGGGACTGGGATTGACTGGGATTGACTGGGAGGGACTGGGAGCAAATGGATCCCAGCATTGTGGCAGTAAATGATTGTGAAATTGGGGAACTGAGGGAACTGGGAGTTACTGGGAGGGACTGGGACAAACTGGGAGGGACTGGGAGCAACTGGGAACCACTGGGAGGGACTGGGAGGGCACTGGAGCCCGGCATAGCGGCGGTAAATGATCTTGAAATTGCGGAACTGGGGGAAACTGGGATTAACTGGGAGGGACTGGGAACCACTGGGAGGGACTGGGAGAGGTGTGGGAGGGACTGGGATTGACTGGGATTGACTGGGATTGACTGGGAGGGACTGGGAGCGATGGTAAATGATCTTGAAATTGCGGAACTGGGACAAACTGGGATTAACTGGGAGCCACTGGGAACCACTGGGAGGGACTGGGAAGCACTGGGAGGGGACTGGGATTGACTGGGATTGACTGGGAGGGCACTGGGAGGGTACTGGAGGCTGGCGGAGCAAAGGTAAAGAATGGGGAAGTTGTGGAACTGGGGGAACTGGGAGTTACTGGGAGGGACTGGGAGGGAACTGGGAGGGACTGGGATTGACTGGGAGGGACTGGGACAAACTGGGAACCACTGGGAACCACTGGGACAAACTGGGAACCATTGGGAGGGGACTGGGAGCCACTGGGAGGGACTGGGAGGGCACTGGAGCCCGGCATAGCGGCGGTAAATGATCTTGAAATTGCGGAACTGGGGGAAACTGGGAGTTACTGGGAGGGACTGGGAGGGACTGGGAACCACTGGGAGGGACTGGGAGAGGTGTGGGAGGGACTGGGAGGGACTGGGACTAACTGGGAACCACTGGGAGGGGACTGGGATTGACTGGGATTGACTGGGATTGACTGGGATTAACTGGGAGGGCACTGGAGCCCGGCATAGCGGCAGTAAATGATCTTGAAATTGCGGAACTGGGGAAACTGGGAGTTACTGGGAGGGACTGGGAGGGACTGGGAGGGACTGGGACAAACTGGGAGGGACTGGGAGGGACTGGGAGGGGACTGGGACAAACTGGGAACCACTGGGAACCACTGGGAACCACTGGGATTAACTGGGATTAACTGGGAGGGCACTGGAGCCCGGCATAGCGGCGGTAAATGATCTTGAAATTGCGGAACTGGGGGAACTGGGAGTTACTGGGAGGGACTGGGAGGGACTGGGAGTAACTGGGAGGGGCTGGGAGAGGTGTGGGAGGGACTGGGATTAACTGGGAGGGACTGGGATTAACTGGGAGGGACTGGGAGGGCACTGGGAGTGACGGTAAATGATCTTGAAATTGCGGAACTGGGGGAACTGGGAGTTACTGGGAGGGACTGGGAGGGACTGGGAACCACTGGGAGGGACTGGGAGGGACTGGGAACCACTGGGAACCACTGGGAGGGGACTGGGATTGACTGGGATTGACTGGGAGCAACTGGGAGGGGACTGGAGGCCGGCGTAGCTGCAGTAAAGGATGGGGAAGTTGTGGAACTGGGAGGGACTGGGACAAACTGGGAACCACTGGGAACCACTGGGAGAGGTGTGGGAGGGACTGGGACAAACTGGGAACCACTGGGATTAACTGGGAGGGACTGGGAACCACTGGGAGGGCACTGGAGCCCGGCATAGCGGCGGTAAATGATCTTGAAATTGCGGAACTGGGGGAAACTGGGAGTTACTGGGAGGGACTGGGACAAACTGGGAGTAACTGGGAGAGGTGTGGGAGGGATTGGGATTAACTGGGATTGACTGGGAGTAACTGGGAGCAAATGGATCCCAGCATCGTGGCAGTAAATGATTGTGAAATTGGGGAACTGGGAGTTACTGGGAGGGACTGGGAGGGACTGGGAACCACTGGGAGGGACTGGGATGGACTGGGAGGGACCAGGAGGAACTGGGACAAACTGGGATGGACTGGGATGAACTGGGATGGACTGGGATGAACTGGGATGGACTGGGATGAACTGGGACAAACTGGGAGGGACTGGGAACCACTGGGATTGACTAGGATTAACTGGGAGGGACTGGGAGGAACTGGGATGAACTGGGATGGACTGGGATTGACTGGGAGGGACTGGGATGAACTGGGACAAACTGGGAGGGACTGGGACAAACTGGGACGGACTGGGATGGACTGGGATGAACTGGGACAAACTGGGAGGGACTGGGACAAACTGGGACAAACTGGGACGGACTGGGATGGACTGGGACAAACTGGGATGGACTGGGAGGGAACTGGGACAAACTGGGAGGGACTGGGACAAACTGGGACAGGCCCAGCTTCCCCCAAAGCTCCATGAACCCCAATCCCCCCCCATTGTCCCCCCAAACCCTGGGGATTTTGGGGAAAAAAATGGAGATTTTGGGGTAAATTTTTTTGATTTGGGGTTAAAAAATTGGCAGTTTTAGGGGTAAAAAATTTGTAATTTGAGGGATTAAAAAATGTGAATTTTGGGTTAAAAAAGGGCAATTTTAGGGTAAAAAGATTGGTGATTTGGGGGTGAAAAAAGGGCAATTTTGGGGTAAAAAATTGGCACTTTTAGGGGTAAAAAATTGGTGATTTTGGGGATTAAAAACCTGTCAATTTTGGGGTAAAAATTGCAAATTTGGGGTTAAAAAATGGCAAATTTGTAGTAAAAAATTGGCAGTTTTAGGGGTAAAAAATTTGTAATTTGGGGGATTAAAAAATGTCAATTTTGGGGTGAAAAATTGGCAATTGTAGGGTAAAAAAATTGGTGATTTGGGGGTAAAAAATGGCGATTTTGGGGTTGAAAATTGGCACTTTTAGGGGTAAAAAATTGGTGGTTTTGGGGATTAAAAAATGTCAATTTTGGGGTAAAAATGGTGATTTTGGGGTAAAAAATGGCAAATTTGTAGTAAAAAATTGGCAGTTTTAGGGGTAAAAAATTAGTAATTTTGGGGATAAAAATATGTCAATTTTGGGGGTAAAAATGGTGATTTTGGAGATTAAAAAAAATGTCAATTTTGGGGAAAAAATTGCGATTTTAGGGTGAAAAAGGGCAATTTTGGGGTAAAAAATTGGTGATTTGGGGGTAAAAAATGGCAAATTTGTGGTAAAAAATTGGTGATTTTTGGGAAAAATTGGTGATTTTTGGGAAAAATTGGTGATTTTGGGATAAAAAATTGTGATTTTGGGGATTAAAAAATGGCAATTTGGGGGTGAAAAAAGGGTGATTTTGGGGTGAAAAAATGGCAATTTTGGGTAAAAAAAATTGAGATTTTGGGGTAAAAAATGGAGATTTTGAGGTAAAAAATTGTGATTTTGGTGAAAAATGGCAATTTTGGGGTAAAAGATGGTGATTTTGGGGTGAAAAAAGGCAATTTTGGGGTAAAAAATGGCAGTTTTAGGGGTAAAAAATTGGTGATTTTGGGGAATAAAAAACTGTGAATTTTGGGGTGAAAAATTGGCACTTTTAGGGGTAAAAATTTGTGATTTTGGTCAAAAATGCCAATTTTGGTGTGGAAAATTCCGGTTTGAAGGTAGAAAATGGGGATTTTGGGGTAAAAAATTGTGATTTTGGTCAAAAATGGCAATTTTGGTGTGGAAAATTCCGGTTTCAAGGTAGAAAATGGGGATTTTGGGGCGAAATCCCCGGATTTTGGGGGTTTTACCTCGACAAAATTGGTGTGTTTGGCGTCCCTGACGGTGACCACGGCGTGAACCTCCTCGATCAGCTTCTGCTTCTCGTCATCATCAAACTGCATGTACCACTTGGCCAGGCGGGTCTTGCCAGCCCTGTTCTGGATCAGGATGAAGCGAATCTGCCCCAGAACATTCCAGAAAAAAATTGGAATTTATTGGGTGAAAATTTGGGGGAAATCGGGGAAATTATTCCCCAAAAATTCCCATTTTTTTGGCATCGAAAATCCAATTTTGCGACGTCAAAATTCAGTTTTTTTCATTAATTTTGCCTCAGAAATTCAAGAAAAAATTGGATTTTTATAGGGTTAAAATTTGGGGAAAATCGGGAAAATTATTCCCCAAAAATTTGATTTTTTTCGGAATTAAAATTCAATTTTCCGTCGTCAAAATTCGGATTTTTTCGTTAATTCAGCCCCAGAATTCCCAGAAAAAATTGGAGTTTTATAGGGTTAAAATTTGGGAGAAATCGGGGAAATTATTCCCCAAAAATTTGATTTTTTTCGGAATTAAAATTCCATTTTCCGTCGTCAAAATTCAATTTTTTTCGTTAATTTTGCCTCAGAATTCCCAGAAAAAATTGGATTTTTAGCGGGTCAAAATTTGGGAAAAATCGGGAAAATTATTCCCCAAAAATTCCCATTTTTTTGGCATCGAAAATCCAATTTTCGGTCGTCAAAATTCGGATTTTTTCATTAATTCGGCCCTAGAAATTCAAGAAAAAATTGGAATTTTATTGGGTTAAAATTTGGTGGAAATCGGGTAAATTATTCCCCAAAAATTCCCATTTTTTTGTAATTAAAATTCCCATTGAAAATCCAATTTTATTGTGAATTATGGGAGGGTTCCCAGCCCTGTTCTGGATCAGGATGAAGCGAATCTGCCCCAGAACATTCCAGAAAAAAATTGGAATTTAAAAGGTTAAAATTTGGGGGAAATCGGGGAAATTATTCCCCAAAAATTCCCATTTTTTTGGCATCGAAAATCCAATTTTGCATCGTCAAAATTCAATTTTTTTCATTAATTTTGCCCCAGAAATTCAAGAAAAAATTGGATTTTATATGGTTAAAATTTGGGGGAAATCGGGGAAATTATTCCCCCAAAATTCCCATTTTTTTGGCATCGAAAATCCAATTCTCGGTCGTCAAAATTCGGATTTTTTCATTAATTCGGCCCTAGAAATTCAAGAAAAAATTGGAATTTTATAGGGTTAAAATTTATTGGAAAATCGGGGAAATTATTCCCCAAAAATTCCCATTTTTTTGTAATTAAAATTCCCATTAAAAATCCAATTTTATTGTGAATTATGGGAGGGTTCCCAGCCCTGTTCTGGATCAGGATGAAGCGAATCTGCCCCAGAACATTCCAGAAAAAAATTGGAATTTATTGGGTGAAAATTTGGGGGAAATCGGGAAAATTATTCCCCCAAAATTTGATTTTTTTCGGAATTAAAATTCAATTTTCCGTCGTCAAAATTCAATTTTTTTCGTTAATTTTGCCTCAGAAATTCAAGAAAAAATTGGAATTTTATAGGGTTAAAATTTGGGGGAAATCGGGGAAATTATTCCCCAAAATTCCCATTTTTTTGTAATTAAAATTCGGATTTTTTTGGCATTGAAATCGCAATTTTTCGTCATCAAAATTCGGATTTTTTCGTTAATTCGGCCCAAGAACTCCCATAAAAAATTGGATTTTTATAGGGTTAAAATTTGGTGGAAATCGGGAAAATTATTCCCCAAAAATTCCCATTTTTTTTGGCATCGAAAATCCAATTTTCGGTCGCCAAAATTCGGATTTTTCCATTGATTCGGCCCCAGAATTCCCAGAAAAAATTGGATTTTTATTGGGTTAAAATTTGGGGAAAATCGGGAAAGTTATTCCCCAAAAATTCCCATTTTTTTGTCATTAAAATTCCCATTAAAAATCCAATTTTATTGTGAATTATGGGAGGGTTCCCAGCCCTGTTCTGGATCAGGATGAAGCGAATCTGCCCCAGAACATTCCAGAAAAAAATTGGAATTTATTGGGTGAAAATTTGGGGGAAATCGGGGAAATTATTCCCCAAAAATTTGATTTTTTTCGGAATTAAAATTCAATTTTCCGTCGTCAAAATTCGGATTTTTTCATTAATTCGGCCCCAGAATTCCCAGAAAAAATTGGATTTTTATATGGTTAAAATTTGGGGGAAATCGGGGAAATTATTCCCCAAAAATTCCCATTTTTTTGGCATCGAAAATCCAATTTTCGGTCGCCAAAATTCGGATTTTTTCATTGATTCGGCCCCAGAAATTGCAGAAAAAATTGGATTTTTATAGGGTTAAAATTTGGGGGAAATCGGGGAAATTATTCCCCAAAAATTCCCATTTTTTTGTAATTAAAATTCCCATTAAAAATCCAATTTTATTGTGAATTATGGGAGGGTTCCCAGCCCTGTTCTGGATCAGGATGAAGCGAATCTGCCCCAGAACATTCCAGAAAAAAATTGGAATTTTATTGGGTTCAAATTTGGGAAAAATCGGGGAAATTATTCCCCAAAAATTTGATTTTTTTCGGAATTAAAATTCAATTTTCTGTCGTCAAAATTCAATTTTTTTCGTTAATTTTGCCTCAGAATTCCCAGAAAAAATTGGATTTTTATATGGTTAAAATTTGGGGGAAATCGGGGAAATGGTTCCCCAGAAATTTGATTTTTTTCGGAATTAAAATTCAATTTTCCGTCGTCAAAATTCGGATTTTTTCGTTAATTTTGCCCCAGAATTCCCAGAAAAAATTGGAGTTTTATAGGGTTAAAATTTGGGGAAAATCGGGGAAATTATTCCCCAGAAATTCCCATTTTTTTGGCATCGAAAATCCAATTTTCTGTCGTCAAAATTCGGATTTTTTCATTAATTCGGCCCTAGAATTCCCAGAAAAAATTGGATTTTTATTGGGTTAAAATTTGGGGAAAATCGGGAAAGTTATTTCCCAAAAATTCCCATTTTTTTGTAATTAAAATTCCTAATTTTTTGTCATTAAAATCCCAATTTTTTTATCATTTAAATTTGGACTTTATCGTGAATTATGGGAGGGTTCCCAGCCCCGTTCTGGGCTCTAAATTGGGAAAAGCCCCAAAATCCTCTCATAAAATCTCATAAATAATTAAAATTCCCCTCAGAACTCCTCAAAATGACCCTAAATTGGGAAAAAACTCAAATTCTCCTCATAAAAACTCAAAATTAATTAAAATTCCCCTCAGAACTCCTCAAAATCCCACTCAAAATGATCCTAAATTGTGGAAAAACCCCAAAATCTCCTCATAAAATCCCAAAAATAATTAAAATTCCCCTCAGAACTCCTCAAAATCCCCCTCAAAAATGACCGTAAATTGGGAAAAAACTCAAAATCTCCTCATAAAATCCCAAAATAATTAAAATCTCCCTCAGAACTCCTCAAAATCCTCCTTAAAATGACCCTAAATTGGGAAAAAACTCAAAATCTCCTCATAAAAACCCAAAAATAATTAAAATTCCCCTCAGAACTCCTCAAAATCCCCCTCAGAAATGACCCGAAATTGGAAAAAAAACTCAAAACACCCCAAATTCTCCTCATAAAAACCCAAAAATAATTAAAATTCCCTCAGAACCTCTCAAAATGACCCTAAATTGGGAAAAAAACCCAAATTCTCCTCATAAAATCCCAAAATTAATTAAAATTCCCCTCAGAACTCCTCAAAATTCCCCTCAAAAATGACCCGAAACTGGGAAAAAACTCAAATTCTCCTCATAAAATCCCAAAATAATTAAAATCTCCCTCAGAACTCCTCAAAATCCTCCTTAAAATGACCCTAAATTGGGAAAAAAACTCAAAATCTCCTCATAAAAACCCAAAAATAATTAAAAATCCCCCTCAGAACCTCTCAAAATGACCCTAAATTGGGAAAAAAACCCAAAAGACTTCAAATTTTCCTCATAAAATACCAAAAATAATTAAAATTCCCCTCAGAACTCCTCAAAATGACCCTAAATTGGGAAAAAAACTCAAATTCTCCTCATAAAATCCCAAAAATAATTAAAATCCCCCTCAGAACTCCTCAAAATCCTCCTCAAAATGACCCTAAATTGGGAAAAAAACCCAAAAGACTTCAAATTTTCCTCATAAAATACCAAAAATGATTAACCCCCCGCCGAACCTCTCAAACTCCCCCTCAAAATGATCCTAAATTGTGAAAAACCCCAAAATCTCCTCATAAAATCCCAAAAATAATTAAACCTCAGAACCTCTCAAAATCACCCTAAATTGGGAAAAGCCCCAAAATCTCCTCATAAACCCCCCAAAATAATTAAAATCCCCTCAGAACTCCTCAAAATCCCCCTCAAAATGATCCTAAATTGTGGAAAAATCCCCAAATCTCCTCATAAAAACCCTAAAATAATTAAATTCCCCCTCAGAACTCCCGTGTCCCCCCACTTCCCTCACGGCGCCTCCAGGCCCGGGGCCCCCCCCGGTTCCTTCCCCCTCCTGTTCCCGCTATCTCCGTGTCCCCCCCGGTTGTCCGCTGCCCTCAGGGCTTCTCACCATGGCGGTACCGGCCCGAGGCCTTCCCCGGTTCCGATTCCGGTTCCGATCCCGGTTCCGATTCCGTTCCCGGTTTTCCGCCCCCCCCTCAGAGCCAGGCCCCGCCGCTTCCCGCTTCCAACAGGGGGCGCCTCCGCGCCGCCCGCACTGCGCATGCGCGGCACCTCCCATTCCCGCCCTTTCCCCCTCACGTTTCCCGCCCCTCCCTCAAATTCCCGCCCCACTCCCCAAAATTCTCATGGCCCCATCCCCAAATTTCCCAGCGCCCCCTCCCCAAATTCCTGCCCTGGAAATGAAGGAGGGCGATCAGAAGGAGATTTGTAGCCCCCTCCCCAAATTGCCCCCACCTCAGAGGTCAAGCCCCGCCCACACCGCTCTTAGCCACGCCCCCTTTCCTCGCTCCCCCTCCCCAAATTCCCTCTCTCCCCCCACCCTCCCTATCCCGGTTTTCGCCCCCTCCCCAAATTCCGCGCCCCCTGCCCCTCCAGGCCACGCCCTAAACCACGCCCACTCCCTCATTACCCCACTCTTCTGGCCCCTCCCATTGCATCCCCCCACCCCAAAATTCCCGCTGCTCTTTGCTTCCTTCCCTCCTCACAATTCCCACTTATCCCCCTCACAATTCCCATTTTTTCCCTATAAAATTCCCGGTTTTTCCTATAAAATTCCCGGTTTATGCCCCTCCCAAATCCCTGTGCTCTCCTCCAAGCCCCGCCCCTTAACCCCGCCCCTTCCTTTAGCCCCGCCCCTCCCGCCTCTCCCGCCTCTCCCCTCACGGTGCCGCCCCTCCCCTCCCGCCGCGCACGCGCTCCCCGCCATTCCCCCCCCCCCCCCCTCCGTGATCGTGAAGGCGGAGGCGGAGAGAGGAGGAGGAGGAGGAGGAGGAGGCGGCTGAGGGCTGAGGGGTGGGGGGGGGGTTAGAGGAGGAGGAAGGCGCCGCCGCCATTACAGGCCGAGCCCGCCCCGGCGGCCCCCGCCGCCCTCGCCCCGCCCGCCGCCGCCGCCCCGAGAGCGCGGACATGGCGCTGCCGCCGCCTCCCGCCGCCCCCGGCCCGGCCCGATGCCGCCGCCGCCGCCTCTGTTTCTCCGGTAAGAAGGAAACCATTTCCTCCTCGCTCGCTCTCAGCGCCACCATCGCCGCCTTTTTTTCTCTTTGGAAAACCCCCCCCCCCCTCACCACCACCTCCCTCCCCCCCCCCAGAAGAACAATGGGCCGCCCCACCCCCGCCCGCCGCGCGCCCGCCGGGCCGGCCCATGGCCCCCGCGGGGGGGGGGGGGGGGGGGGGGGACGGCCCCGTGAGGGGGGCACGGGAGAGACCACCCCCCGTGGGGGGAGGGTGGGGGGGATGAGACCCCCACCCCCCCATCCGTCCGTTCTCAATGGTTCCGCCGCCCATTCATGGGGGGCTGTGTGGGAGAGACCACCGGGAGGGGAGAGGGGGGGACCCCAAAATTGGGGGGGGGGGCGGGGGGATTCTGAGGGGAGACCACCCCTAATTTGAGGGGGATTCTGAGGGGAAACCACCCCTAATTTGGGGCGAGACCATCCTCAATTTGGGGGTGATTCTGAGGGGAGACCACCCCCAATTTGGGGGGGCTTAGAAGGGAGACCCCCACAATTTGAAGGGGAGACCACCCCCAATTTAGGGGGGATTCTGAGGGGAGACCACCACTAATTTGGGGGGGACTCAAAGGTGAGACCACCCCCAATTTGGGGGCAAGACCATCCTCAATTTCGGGGGGATTCTGAGGGGGAGACCACCCCCAATTTGGGGGGGATTTTGAGGGGACCATCCCCAATTTTGGGGGGATTTAGGGGAGAGACCACCCCTAATTTGAGGGGGATTCTGAGGGGAGACCACCCCCAATTTGGGGTGAGACCATCCTCAATTTGGGGGGGATTCTGAGGGGAAACCACCCCAAATTTTGGGAGGACTTGGGCGAGACCATCCCCAATTTAGGGGGGATTCTGAGGGGAGACCATCCCCAATTTGGGGGGGATTCTGAGGGGAGACCATCCCCAATTTGGGGGGGACTTGGGAGAGACCAACTCCAAATGGGGGGGGACTCTGAGGGGAGACCACCCCCAATTTTGGGGGGGGATTTAGGGGCGAGACCACCCCCAATTTTAGGGGGGCTTACAGGTGATACCATCCTCAATTTGGGGGGGATTCTGAGGGGAGACCCCTCCCCAAATTTGGGGGTTCCCCCCTCAAATCCCCCTCCCCAAATTTGGGGTCTCCCCTCAAATCCCCCTCTCCAAATTCCTCAAATCCCCCTCCCCAAATTGGGGTCTCCCCCCTCCCCAAATTTGGGGTTCCCCCCTCATTTCCCCCTCCCCAAATTTTGGGGTCTCCCCTCAAATCCCCCTCCCCAAAATTCCCAATTTTCCTTGGAGTTTTTCCCCATTTTTCCCCCATTTTTTGGGATCATTTAGGATTTTCTGGCTCCCCAAATTCCCCCTTTTTATCCACAGTTGCCATTCCCTGGAAATTTGGGATTTTGGGGATTTATTGGGATTTATTTGGGATTTTTTTTTAGGATTTTCTTGGGATTGTTTGGGATTTTTTTAAGGATTTTCTTGTGGTTTTGGGGATTTTTTTGGAGTTTCTTTTGGGATTTTTTTTTGGAGTTTCTTATGGGATTTTTTTTTGGAGTTTCTTTTGGGATTTTTAAAAAATTTATTTTAGATATTCTTGGATTTTTGGGGGATTTTTTTGGGGTTTTTTGCGGGGGATTTTCTTGGGATTTTATTGGGATTTTGGGGGTTTTTTTTGGGATTTGTTTTGGGATTTATTTGGGATTTTTTCAGGATTTTCTTGGGATTGTTTTGGATTTTCTTGGGAATTTTTTGGGGCTTTTTTTGGGGGGGGGTTGGGATTTTTTCCAAATTTTTGGGATTTTTTGGGGGATTTTTTTTGGAATATTTTGTGATTTTGGGGTTTTTTTTTTGTTGTTCTTTGGGTTTTTCTTTTTTTACTTTTTTGGTTCTTTGGTTTTGGGGGATTTTTTTTTGGGACTCTTTGGGTGGAATTTTCTTGGTTTTTGGTGTAATTTTTAAAAACATTTTTGGATTTTTTGAGTGTTGTTTGGATAATTTTGGGGTTTTTTAAGGATTTTTGGGGGGATTTTTAAAATTTATTTTGGATTTTTGGGGGTTTTTGGGGGGCTTTTATAGGATTTATTTGGGATTTTTTAAATTTTATTTTTAGGGGGATTTTCTGGGATTTTTGGGGTTGTTTTTTGGGGATTTCTTGGGATTTTGGGAGGAATTTTTTGGGGCCAAAATTTCACTTTGCCCACCTGGATTTGTCTCTTCCATCCACAAATTTGGGGATTTCTCCTCCAGGAATGGTGGAAAAAGATCCCAAAAATCCCAAAATCTGGGAATGGCAGCTCCAGGAAATCCCAAAATTTGGGAAAAGGATCCCAAAAACCCCCCAAAATTTGGGAATTGCAGCTCCAGAAAATCTCAAAAATTGGAAAAAAATCCCCAAAAAAATCCCAAGATTTGGGAAAAAGATCCCAAAAAAACCCAAAATTTGAGGAAAAGGTCCCAAAAATCCCCAATATTCAGGAAAAACATCCCAAAAATCCCCCAAATTTAGGAAAAAGTATCCCAAAAAAACCCAAAATTTAGGAAAAAATATCCCAAAAATCCCCAAAATTCAGGAAAAACCTCCCAAAAACCCCCAAAATTTGGGATCAACATTCCCAAAAACCCCCAAAATTTAGGAAAAATATCCCAAAAAATCCCCAAAATTTAGGAAAAACATTTTTGGGGGGTAAAAAAAATCCCTTTTTTGGGGGGAATTTGGGGATTTTTGGGAATTTTTGGAGTTTTTGAAGATTCCAACTGAGATTTTTGGGGGAAAAAAAGAGGAAAATTCCCGATTTTTTCTGCCCTTGGAATTTCCAGCTCCTGGGTGAGGATTCCATGGGAATTTGGGATTTTTTTGGGGATTTTTGGGAATTTTTTTGGGAATTTTTGGGGTCAATCTGCAAGTGCTGAGTCAGCGAATTCCAGGTGAAAAATCTGGAATTTTTGGGGAAAATCGGGAATTTTGGGGGGGTTTAAAGTTGGAATTCCCAGCTCCTGGGTGAGGATTCCATGAGAATTTGGGATTTTTGGGGAATTTTTTGGGGAATTTTGGGGTTTTTAAGGATTTTTTTGGGTTAATCAGGACGTGCTGAGTCAGTGAATTCCAGGAAAAAAGTTGGGAATTTTTGGGGAAAAATCGGGAATTTTTGGGTGTTTAAAGTTGGAATTTCCAGCTCCTGGGTGAGCATTCCACAGGAATTTGGGATTTTTTGGGGATTTTTTTGACACTTTTAGGGATTTTTTGGGATTTATCAGGAAGTGCTGAGTCAGCGAATCCCAGGGGAAAAATCGGGAATTTTGGGGGGTTTAAAGTTGGAATTTCCAGCTCTGGGTGAGGATTCCACAGGAATTTGGGAATTTTTTGGGGATTTTTTTGGGGAATTTTGGGGTTTTTTGGGGAATGTTGGGGTTCATCAGGAAGTTCTGAGTCAGCGAATTCCAGGAAAAAAGGTGGGAATTTTGGGGAAAATCGGGAATTTTGGGGGGTTTAAAGTTGGAATTCCCAGCTCTGGGATGGATCTCGGTGAGGATTCCACGGGAATTTTTTTTGGAATTTTTTGGGGAATTTTTGGGGATTTTTAGGGAATTTTTGGGGATTTTTAGGGAATTTTTGGGGTCAGTCAGGAACTGCTGAGTCAGGGAATTCCAGGGAAAACGAAGTTGGGTCCACCATGATGGAGAAGTTGTGTCCATCATGGTGGAGAACCTGTGTCCTTCATGGTGGAGAACCTGTGTCCTTCATGGTGGAGAACCTGCGTCCATCATGGTGGAGAAGTTGGATCCACCATGGTGGAGAACCTGTGTCCTTCATGGTGGAGAACTTGTGTCCATCATGGTGGGGAACCTGTGTCCACCATGGTGGAGAACCTGTGTCCTTCATGGTGGAGAAGCTGTGTCCATCATGGTGGAACAGTTGTCTCCATCTTGGTGGAGAACTTGTGTCCATCATGGTGGAAAATTTGGGTCCATCATGGTGGAGAACTTGTGTCCATCATGGGGCTGGAGAACCTGTGTCCTTCATGGTGGAGAAGTTGGGTCCATCATGGTGGAGAACCTGTGTCCATCATGGTGGAGAACCTGTGTCCACTATGGTGGAGAACCTGTGTCCTTCATGGTGGAAAATTTGGGTCCATCATGGTGGAGAAGTTGGGTCCATCATGGGAGACCTTTGGTTGGGTGGAGAAGTTGTGTCCATCATGGTGGGTCTTTGGTTGGGTGGAGGAGTTGTGTCCATCATGGTGGACAAGTTGTGTCTATCATGGTGGAAGAGTTGGATCCATCATGGTGGGGAACCTGTGTCCGTCATGGTGGGGAACCTGTGTCCATCATGGTGGGTCTTCGGTTGAGTGGAGAAGTTGGATCCATCATGGTGGAAGAGTTGAATCCATCATGGTGGGTCTTTGGTTGGATGGAGAAGTTGTGTCCATCATGGTGACCCTTGGTTGGTTGGAGGAGTTGTGTCCATCATGGGGAAGTTGTGTCCATCATGGTGGAGAACCTGTGTCCACCATGGTGGAGAACTTGTCTCCTTCATGATGGAGAAGTTGGATCCATCATGGTGGAGAACTTGTGTCCATCATGGTGGTTCTTTGGTTGGATGGAGAACCTGTGTCCACCATGGTGGAAGAGTTGGATCCATCATGGTGGGTCTTTGGTTGGATGGAGAAGTTGTGTCCATCATGGTGACCCTTGGTTGGTTGGAGGAGTTGTGTCCATCATGGTGGAGAACCTGTGTCCATCATGGTGGAGAACCTGTGTCCATCATGGTGTACCAGTTGTGTCCATCATGGTGGAGAAGATGGATCCACCATGATGGAGAACTTGTGTCCGCCATGGTGGAGAACCTGTGTCCATCATGGTGGGGTCTTTGTTTGGATGGAGAAGTTGTGTCCATCATGGTGGAGAAGTTGGGTCCCCCAAGGGAGATCTTTGGTTGGATGGAGAAGTTGGATCCATCATGGTGGAGAACCTGTGTCCATCATGGTGGAGAACTTGTGTCCACCATGGTGGGGAACCTGTGTCCATCATGGTGGAGAACTTGTGTCCATCATGGTGGGGAACCTGTGTCCATCATGGTGGAGAACCTGTGTCCATCATGGTGACCCTTGGTTGGGTGGAGAAGTTGGATCCATCATGGTGGGGAACCTGCGTCCATCTTGGTTCCCCACGTTGCCCGGAGCATTTGTGTCCACCATGGTGGAGAACTTGGATCCATCTTGGTTCCCCACATTGCCCAGAGCAGTCGTGTCCACCATGGTGGAGAACTTGGATCCATCTTGGTTCCCCCACGTTGCCCGGAGCTGTCGTCTCCCTCTCGGTGTCCCTCACTTGTTGGAGACCCCTTCCCACCCTTCCCCGCCCACCTCCACCACCCCTGACTCTCTCTGTGCCCCCAGGACCCCTCCTCGGCCGCCGCGCTCCGACGCCCTCCAGTTCCTGAAGCGTCCCCGCCGCCCCGGCCATGGCGCCGCCGCCCCTGCCCTGATCCCGTCCCCGCGCCGCGCCAGGGCCACCACCATGCTCCGACCATGATGATGGCCCGCAAGCAAGATGGCCGCACGCCCACCTACAACGTCAGCGTGGTGGGGCTGTCCGGCACCGAGAAGGAGAAAGGTCAATGCGGCGTCGGCAAATCTTGCCTTTGCAACCGATTCGTTCGACCCAGCGCCGACGACTTCCACTTGGACCACACCTCCGTGCTCAGCACCAGTGACTTTGGAGGAAGGGTGGTCAACAATGACCACTTCCTCTACTGGGGCGAGGTGGCCCGAGCCTTGGAGGAGTGCGTGGAGTGCAGGATCCACGTGGTGGAACAGACGGAGTTCATCGACGACCAGACCTTCCAACCTCACCGGAGCACGGCTTTGCAACCTTACATCAAAAGAGCGGCGGCCACCAAGCTGGCGTCGGCCGAGAAGCTCATGTACTTCTGCACCGACCAGTTGGGCTTGGAGCAGGACTTCGAGCAGAAGCAGATGCCCGACGGCAAATTGCCGGTGGACGGCTTCTTGCTGTGCGTGGACGTCAGCCGCGGCATGAACCGCAACTTCGACGAGCAGCTGAAATTCGTCTCCAACCTCTACAACCAACTGGCCAAGACCAAGAAACCCGTGGTGGTGGTGCTGACCAAGTGCGACGAGGGCGTCGAGCGTTACATCCGCGACGCCCACGCCTTCGCTTTGGGCAAGAAGAACCTGCAGGTGGTGGAGACCTCGGCGCGCTCCAACGTCAACGTCGAGCTGGCCTTCAGCACCTTGGTGCAGCTGGTGGACAAGAGTAGGGGCAAGGCCAAGATCATCCCCTACTTCGAGGCCCTCAAGCAGCAGAGCCAGCAGATCGCCGCCGCCAAGGACAAGTACGAGTGGCTCGTCAGCCGCATCGTCAAGAGCCACCACGAGCTCTGGCCCAACGTCAGCCGCAGATGCAGCCGGCACCCGAGTACCAGGACTACGTCTACTTGGAGGGCACCCAGAGCCAAGAAGCTCTTCCTGCAGCACGTCCAGCGCCTCAAGCAGGAGCACATCGAGCGGCGCCGCAAGGTCTACCTGGCCCTGCTGCCCCAGGCCTTGGACGCCCTGGTGCCGGACCTGGACGAGATCGACCACTTGAGTCGCGCCAAGGCCGAGAAGCTCCTGGAGGCCAAGCCCGACTTCCTCAAGTGGTTCGTGGTGTTGGAGGGAGACTCCGTGGGACGCCACCAGCCACGTGGACAACGTGGACAACGAGCGCATCCCCTTCGACCTGCTGGAGACGCCGGCGGCCGAGCAGCTCTACGAGGCCCACCTGGAGAAGCTCCGCAACGAGCGGAAGCGCGCCGAGATGAGGAGGGCGTTCCGCGAGAACCTGGAGACCTCTCCCTTCGTCACGCCCGGCAAACCCTGGGAGGAGGCCAGGAGCTTCATCATGAACGAGGACTTCTACCTGTGGCTGGAGGAGTCCGTCTACATGGACATCTACGGCAAGCACCAGAAGCAGCTGATCGACAAGGCCAAGGAGGACTTCCAGGAGCTGCTCCTGGAGTACTCGGAGCTCTTCTACGAGCTGGAGTTGGACGCCAAGCCCAGCAAGGAGAAGATGGGCGTGATCCAGGAGGTGCTGGGCGAAGAGCAGAGGTTCAAAGCCCTGCAGAAGCTGCAGGCCGAGCGCGACGCCCTCGTCCTCAAGCACATCCACTTCGTCTACCACCCCCACCAAGGAGACGTGTCCCAGCTGCGCCGCCTGCGTGGACGCCCGCGTGGAGCAGCTGCTGGGCTCCCGCTTCACCCGGCAGCACCGCAACAACCCCTCGGCGGACCCAACGTCGACCGCATCAACTTGGTCATCCTGGGCAAGGACGGCCTGGCCCGCGAGCTGGCCAACGAGATCCGCAGCGCTCTGCACCAACGACGACAAATACGTCATCGAGGGCAAGATGTACGAGCTGGCCTTGAGGCCCATCGAGGGCAACGTCCGCCTGCCGGTCAACGCCTTCCAGACGCCCCACCTTCCAACCTCACGGCTGCCTTTGCCTCTACAACTCCAAGGAATCTTTGTCCTACGTGGTGGAGAGCATCGAGAAGAGCCGCGAGTCCACCGTGGGTCGCCGCGACGGCCACTTGGCCCAGCTGCCCTTGACGCTCATCCTGGTCAAACAAACGCGGCGGCGGCGGCGACGCCGGCGGCGAGACCTTGCAGAGCTTGATCCAGCAAGGCCAGCAGATCGCCAGCAAGCTCCAGTGCGTCTTCCTCGACCCGGCGTCCGCCGGCATCGGCTACGGCCGCAACATCAACGAGAAGCAGATCGGCCAAGTCCTCAAGGGTCTGTTGGACGCCAAACGCAACCTCAACCTGGTGGTGGGCTCCACGCCGGGTCTGAAGGACGCGTCCGACGGCGCCGACCTGCGCCTGGTGATGTGCTTGATGTGCGGCGACCCGGTGAGCGCCGACGAGGTTCTCCTGCCCATCCTTCAAGCGCAAGCGTGCCGGCCGGCGCCGGGCGGCGGCGCCGCCGTGCTGCTGGAGGCGGCGGTGGGGTCTCAGCGGAGGAAGGTGGAGCTGTCCTTGCTGTCCTACCACGCCTCGTTCGGCTTGAGGAAGAGCCGCCTGGTCCACGGCTACATCGTCTTCTACGCCGCCAAACGCAGGGCGTCCTTGGCCACCTTGCGCGCCTTCCTGGCCGACGTCCAGGACATCGTCCCCGTCCAGTTGGGTGGCTTTGGCCGACGGCTCCGCCGACCTCCTGGACAACGACGTCAGCCGCGAGCAGTTGGCCGAGGGCGAGGAGATCGCGCAGGAGATCGAGGCCAGGTTCGCCGCTTTGCCGTGCGGCCAAGCCCAAACCAAGCTGGACGTCTTCCAACCTTTCTTCAAGGACGCTTTGGACAAGAAGAACATCGTGGAGGCCGCCCACATGTACGACAACGCCGCCGAGGCCTGCAGCCACCGGCGAGGACGTCTTCAACTCGCCGCGCGCCGGATCTCCGCTCTGCAACTCCAACCTGCCCGACTCCGAGGAGGACCCGGAACCCCTGCCCGGCTACAGCCCCTTCCGCGAGGAACCTCCCGTGGCCCGCCTTGCCCAAGGACCACTCCAAGTTGTCCATGGAGCTGGAAGGCAACGACGCTCTGAGCTTCATCTCGGTGGTGGGGACGTTCGAGGGAAAAGCCAACAAGGTCCCGCCGCCGGTCAAGCCCAAACCGCCGGTTCACTTCGACATCAAGGGCGACCTGGGCTACCTGGAGCAAAGCCACCGCGAGGCCCAACGGCGCTCGGTGTCCTCGTCCGCGTGGCTGCCGCCCGATTGCTTCGACCCCTCGGACTACGCCGAGCCCATGGACGCGGTGGTGAAACCGCGCAACGAGGAGGAGAACATCTACTCGGTGCCTCACGACAGCACCCAGGGCAAGATCATCACGGTGAGGAACATCAACAAGGCCACGTCCAACGGCAGCGGCAACGGCTCGGACAGCGAGATGGACACCAGCTCCTTGGAGCGCGGGCCGGAAGGCGCCGGGAGTCGCCAAACCCTCGCTGTACCGGGCGCGGTGCGCGCGGCTCGGACGTTTCGCCGGGTACCGGCCGGGCCTGAGCGTCGGCAGCGACGATGAGTTGGGACCCGGGAGGAAGAAGGACGAGGAAGCGGGAGGTCAAGGGGGCTACAAAGGGGACAACGCGGTGATGGCGTACGAGGCCGGAGACGGCGAGGATCCGCGCAGGAGGAACATCCTGAGGAGCCTCAGGAGGACCACCAAGGTGGAGCTTGGGGTGGAGGTGGAGCTTGGGGTGGAGGTGGAGCTTGGGGTGGAGGTGGGGTTTGGGGTGGAGGTGGAGCTTGGGGTGGAGGTGGGGCTTGGGGTGGAGGTGGAGCTGGGGGTGGAGGTGGAGCTTGGGGTGGAGCTTGGGGTGAAGGTGGAGCTTGGGGTGGAGCTTGGGGTGAAGGTGGAGCTTGGGGTGGAGGTGGAGGTTGGGGTGAAGTCGGAGCTTGGGGTGGAGCTTGGGTTTAGGGTGAAGGTGGAGCTTGGGTGGAGGTGGAGTTTGGGGTGGAGGTGGAGCTTGGGTGAAGGTGGAGCTTGGGGTGGAGGTGGAGCTTGGGGTGAAGGTGGAGCTTGGGGCGGAGGTGGAGCTTGGGGTGGAGGTGGAGCTTGGGGTGAAGGTGCAGCTTGGGGTGAAGGCGGAGCTTGGGGTGAAGGTGGGGTTTGGGGTGGAGGTGGAGCTTGGGGTGAAGGTGGGGTTTGGGGCGAAGGTGGAGCTTGGGGTGGAGGTGGAGCTTGGGGTGAAGGTGGAGCTTGGGGTGGAGGTGGAGCTTGGGGTGGAGGTGGGGATTGGGGTGGAGGTGGAGCTTGGGGTGGGAGGTGGAGCTTGGGGTGGAGGTGGAGCTTGGGGCGGAGGTGGAGCTTGGGGTGGAGGTGGAGCTTGGGTGGAGGTGGAGCTTGGGGCGGAGGTGGAGCTTGGGGTGAAGTTGGAGCTTGGGTGGAGGTGGAGCTTGGAGAGGTCCCCATCATTTCCCCATAATTTCCGCCATTTTCCTGTAATTTCCCTGTAATTTCCCCATTATTTCCCCATTATTCCCCCCTAACCTCCCTTATTCCCCCATAATTCCCCCATTATCCCCCCATAATGCCCCCTAATCCCCCCACAATTCCCCCATTATTTCCCTATAATTTCCCCCCCCCCCCGTTTCCCTGTAACTCCCCCCTAATCCCCCCTTATTTCCCCCCCAATTCCCCCATTAATCCCCCATTATTTCCCCCTAATCCCCCTTATTCCCCCCATATTTCCCCCATATTTCCCCCACAATCCCCCCAGATTTGCCCCATATTTCCCCCCATATTTGCCCCATATTTCCCCCCATATTTCCCTCCATTATCCCCCCATTATCCGCCCATTATTCCCCCATTATTTCCCCCACAATTCCCCATATTTTCCCCCCAATTCCCCCATTATTCCCCCCATATTTCCCCCCATATTTCCCCCATTATTCCCCCCATATTTCCCCATTTTTCCCCATATTTCCCCCCATAATTCCCCCATTTTTCCCCCATTATTTCCCCATAATTCCCCCATAACTCCCCCATTTTTCCCCATTATTCCCCCATTATTCCCCCATTTTCCCCCATATTTCCCCCACAATTCCCCCCATTTTTCCCCATATTTTCCCCCCACAATTCCCCCATTATTCCCCCATTATCTGCCCATTATTCCCCCATTATTTCCCCCCTAATTCCCCATTCTTCCCCCTTATTTCCCCCATTATTCCCCCGTTATTTCCCTGTAATTTCCCCCATTTTTCCCCCATTATTCCCCCACATTTTCCCCCCATATTTCCCCCATATTCCCCCCCAATCCCCCCTTATTTCCCCATTATCCCCCCATTATTTCCCCCCTAATTCCCCGTTCTTCCCCCATTATTCCCCCATAATTTTCCCCCCATTTCCCTGTAACTCCCCCCTAATTCCCCCATAATTTTCCCCCATAATTCCCCCATTATTTGCCCTAATCCCCCCTTATTTCCCCCACAATTCCCCATCATTTCCCCTGTTTCCCTATAATTTCCCCCATATTTCCCCCATTATTCCTCATAATTTCCCCGTTTCCCTATAATTTCCCCCCATTTTCCCCCCATAATTCCCCCATTATTTCCCCCTGTTTCCCCGTTCTTCCCCATTATTCCCCCATATTTTCCCCCACAATTCCCCCATATTTCCCCCATATTTCCCCCCATATTTCCCCCATAATTTCCCCATTATTTCCCCCATTATTCCCCCCATATTTCCCCCATTTTTCCCTCTATTTCCCTATAATTTCCCCCACAATTCCCCCATTATTCCCCCATTATCCCCCATAATTCCCCATTATTCCCCCGTTATTTCCCCCATTATTTCCCTGTAACTCCCCCATTTTTCCCCCATTATTCCCCCCATTATTTCCCCCATTATTCCCACCGTTTTCTCCCCCTGTTTCCCTATAATTTCCCCCATTTTTCCCCCCATTTTTCTCCCATTTTTTCCCCCATTATTTCCCTGTAACTCCCCCCTAATCCCCCATTTTCTCCCCCTGTTTCCCTATAATTTCCCCCATTTTTCCCCCATTATTCCCCCCTAACCTCCCGTATTTCCCCCATAATTTCCCCACAATTTCCCCCCTGTTTCCCCATTATTTCCCCATTATTTGCCCCATTATTCCCCCATTATTTCCCCCACAATTCCCCCCTAATTCCCCATTATTTCCCCATAATTTCCCCCCATATTCCCCCCACAATTTCCCCATTATTCCCCATTTTTCCCCATATTTTCCCCCACAATCCCCCTATAATTCCCCCATTTTTCCCTCTATTTCCCTATAATTTCCCCCACAATTCCCCCATTTTCCCCCACAATTTCCCCATTTTTCCCCCCATTTTTCCCCCATATTTCCCCCATATTTCCCCATATTTCTCCCACAAAATCCCCCCATATTTTCCCCCACAATTCCCCCATAATTCCCCCATAACTTCCCCATTATTCCCCCCTAATTCCTCCCCAATTCCCCCATTTTTCCCCCTAATTCCCCATTATTCCCCCATTATTCCCCTGTTATTTCCCTGTAACTCCCCCATTATTTCCCCCATTATTTCCCCATATTTTCCCCACAATTCCCCTAATTCCCCCATTATTCCCCCATTTTTCCCCCATTATTTCCCCCCTGTTTCCCCATTCTTCCCCCATATTCCCCCATTATTTCCCTATAATTCCCCCATAATTCCCCCTAATTCCCCCCTAATCCCCCTAATTCCCCCCTTATTTCCCCCTTATTTCCCCCACAATTCCCCCATATTTTCCCCATATTTCCCCCATATTTTCCCCCCAATTCCCCCCATTATTTCCCCTCTAACCCCATTATTTCCCCCATTATTCCCCCATATTTTCCCCCCAATGCCCCCATATTTTGCCCCACAATCCCCCATATTTCCCCCATATTTTCCCCCTACATCCCCCATTATCTCCCCATTATCCGCCCATTATTCCCCCATTATTTCCCCCCCTAATTCCCCGTTCTTCCCCCATATTTCCCCCACAATTCCCCCATAATTCCCCCATTATTTCCCCCCGTTTCCCTATAATTCCCCCCTAATCCCCCCATTATTCCCCATATTTTCCCCCATTATTCCCCCCATAATTCCCCCATAACTCCCCCTTATTTCCCCCCTATTCCCCCATTTTTCCCCCATTATTCCCCCATTATTCCCCCACTATTCCCACACAATTCCCCCATTTTCCCCCTTATTTCCCCATTTTTCCCCATTATTTCCCCTCTAACCCCCATTATTCCCCATTATTTCCCCCCATATTTCCCCCATATTTCCCCCCCAATTCCCCCCCTAATCCCCGTTCTTCCCCCACATTTCCCCCCATAAATCCCCCATATTTTCCCCCACAATCCCCCATTATTCCCCCATTTTTCCCCATAAATCCCC